CGACATGGTGGGTGGTCGGAGGTTGTACAACGGTGCCTGGTGCTTGACACGACCCCCGATTCAATCACAGGCACTCTTGCCATGTCAAGTTGCAGAAAAAATACACGTCGTCGACGTGTAGTTGTGGCTCTGCAGCTCGTGTAGTTGCTACTTGTTCTTAAAGTGACTTGCTGCACCATCACTTACGCAGGTCACATGAGCATACCCAAATTGGATTTCACGATTCTCCATACCATTGTTTTATAAATTAGGTTACAAACAATCTCATTCAATCGCAATTCTTTTTTCCTTTTTTTTTTATGTATCTTTATTTACTACTTGTTGTGCGGCCCTCCACGGCGCCAAATCTATTGGCACTCACAAGCGGCGCAGGTTCAGGTTCTGCCGCGCCCTACCTTCTATATCATGTTACCGCCAAGGTTGTACGCTGATCTGTTTGTAAAGTTGCTCCGGTTGCTTCCTTTACGTCGCGTAGACGGAGACGCTATACGCCGGCTGTTGATAGTTGAAACAGGCACCGCGAAGCATGTTACAGGGTGGCGCACCTCGATCGCTCCAGCCCATGGGCATTTTTAGGTCGGTTGTACAAAAATGTATTAAGAATTTTCTCTTCGAAAGTACCGCCCACCTCTGTGCTGTCAATTTGTCTTTTCCTGACCACCCCATAGCATTTTTACGCTTTTTAATAATAATGAAATTATGAAGAACAGCTATGTGAACGTCCATTTATGGCAACCGCGTTAGCGTCAATTTGGCCATATTTCTCGCTTTATAACTTAAAAACCACACAAATATTGCATTATGTTTTTGCAGACTCTGTTAGTACATATTATTAATGTTAATTTCAGAGAGCTTGAAGAATATTAAAGATGGCTTTTTTTTTTAAAATGATTTTCAAAATAATGCATTTTTAGCTAAATGCCCTTGTGTGAGCAAATGGTATAAATTTCTCCCGCTAACCAGTACAACACTATTTCACGCAAAGATGAACTATATACAGACAGGGCAACACACTGGCAAAGTTTGAAGACCTTAGCTTTTATAGATACAGAGAAAAATATTCTTTAATCCGGAGCGTTATAGTGCAATGTGCTGTGTTTGCAATTTTTTTTCTCAGAATAACTACCCTAATACTCGGTGATTAATACTTTTGGTCAATCCTTCCTATGCCTAATTTGTCAGTGAATATTTCTAGACCCATAGCCAGAACAGGTATTTGGGAGAAGCCGCCCGAAATGTCAACATCGCGCGATACGCAAAACGCGCACGTGACTGAGAGGGCGCTTACAAATTTGTTTCCCAAAGACAAACATTTTTTAACGAAAACAAGGATTGTTTTTATTTTTCTGGGCATAAAGCTAGCAAAATATTTATTTATTTTTTTTATCAAAATTGAAAATAATCACCGGACATGGTTGTTTGATCTTATCTGAAAACGCCTAACAATGAAAATGACACCGGCCAGAAGCCCACCTTTGGAACGGTTAATAACCTTACATAACATCAGGAATCACCACCGCCGCTTCAAAGTGACATATTTAACTGTCACATTCAGTTTGGCACGTGCAAAGCTTTGCTACAGTCACCAAACGGTCTGCTCCCCACGTACCAGATGCCCTCGTAGGCCTCAACGACCGTGACACCATCTGGTGGCGCGGCATGCATGAAAACCAGGGAAGTTAGATGCCTACAGAGACGGCCTACTCCACCTAAGCCTTCTTGCACCAAGCCCTGGCTTTCGGTAGTTCTAATACCTGCTCCCACCCGTAGCCATTAAGGTAATTAATAAATTAACACAAATTAAGTAAAACTGACTAGGGGGATTGGCAACACGTTTTATATGCAAACCTGCATTTTTTTTTTTTTTTCACTGATTGTGTGTGTGAGGATTTTGCATCTAGAAACTGTGATGTATTAGCCCTGGAGGGCCGAGACAAAAGCAACAGATGCATACCTGCCAAGTTCAAAAAAACCAAACTGGGAGAATTTCTAAGCAGGTTGGGGAGGGAGGGGGGAAGGAAGGGGTGGTAGCAGTTTTTTAAAAGAAATATTGACAACAAAGTTACATAAAGATGACTTCATTAGATTTATACTGCACTGCTCATGCTAGTGAGATGCAACTGGGCTTCGTTATCGTCGCAGCCGCTTGTTGCAATGGCAAAAAGTGCAGGGAGAGGGGAAGGGGGAGGGGATAATCTGTGTTTTCCGGGCCATTTTTTGCCAATCGTACTACCGTACAAACCGGTGAAAATTGGGGAGTCCCCCAGGTAATAGGGGAGACTTGGCAGGTATGCAAATGGAACAAAACAAAATGCATTATAAAAATACAACAGAGCTCCAAAATGAAGACTAATTAAAGTTGTACACACGGCATGACAGGCACTGTAATATATGATATACCGACTCGCCCAAACGCCCTTACTACAGTTCTTCGCCTTCTATTTCTAAAATATATGCACTTCAAGTCAAATCTGTTAACAAGAAATTTTACCACCAAGTGCTATTCGGATGCCGATTGGTCGAAATACTAAATGTTCTACGACCAAAAAAAAAATATTCTAACATAGCATAATACAATGAGCAAGGAGATGGCTCCTCATATAACATCTGCATTGAATACCATTAAAAAAAAAAGGCACCTCAGCAAAACTGAACACTACACCTTTGAGGCAGCACTAATTACACTTTTGCCTCGAAACAAGTCATCAAATGTGATTCAAAGTTCAAGGGACCTGCCAGAACATCGCTGGCACACTGTCAGGACATTCATGATCTCGCCAGAATCTTGAGTGACTTGCCCCATTAACAAGACAGATGCGGGGACTCCGGGTGCCACGAGATCGCCAGTTGGCTCTTTCTAGGTCAAGTGCCAATTGGCCACGAACTCCATCTCAAAAGAACTGCCGATCTCCCGGCTCTGCTGGAAGATAGCCCCTCACAGCCATCAAGATCCCCTAATCAATGCCCACCCTTTGAGAATATGCCTTTGTCTTTTTGAGAAAAACGGTGCAAGTGACCAGAGCACCACAGGTAGGCACTGAAAGCTCAGTATCCTCACAAGAGCTTGCAAAACTCTAAAGTGATAACAGACACAACCAGTCGTGCTCATTTTCTTAAATAATAAAATAATGCCGAAGACTGTGCTCTGCACTCACCATCTCTAAGGTGAACAAGTTCCAAAGTTCACACTAGGTAAGAAGTCCAGCATAAACTCTCTTGAGAAATTTCATACAAAAGCACAAACCAATATAGGTATGTATATTCGATTAAAATGCCTTTTTATGATAAGGTCAGTTTTTATTTGTTTCTTGTTTCTTAATGAATGCACTATGTCCGCATCACATTGGTATCTAACACAGCTATATCTGGGCAGCGAAGTACTGCAGCTTTAGGTCCTATATTTATAGTCTTATTATATTACTCATTAGTATAGAGGTGGAATGATGCAGCAACAGTTACTTCAGGTAGTGAAAATCCAATTAAATACAGCTTTGCGTAAACTCCACAGAAATTAACCATGGGCATTCAATGCCCCAAAAATCCTGAACATTTTGATGAAGTGACAGAAAGGTGTGAGAAAGGTGCGTAATAAAGAATCAAGTACACATCTGTGTTCTTATAGTACATCTGACAATCAAAGTTTTCCAGACATCAAGGATTGAATTCTCAAATGCTTGAGAAAGCATTTGAGAATTCCTTCAGCTCGAAACCTAGCAACTGACTAAAACTATGCACAACCCAATTTTCAAAATGTTGGCCATCGTTTCCTTCCTCATTCATTTCGTCAGAGCTAAGCCACGTGGGCTGTTCAGAAATAAGGAGAAGAATGCAAACAGTTGAACCTTAGCCTACAAGCGTAGGAGTTTGGTTTATAAACTACTAGCAAACCTGGACAGAGAAAAAGCAATAATCTAAGACACATAGTCTCACTCAAAATATGTTAGTTCCATGCAATAAGTTGTGTTTAAAAATACTAGCACCTGGGCATAAAAGTAGGCTCTGGGTGACTGAATTCTGAACCAGGCTGTAGCATGATAAGTTCTAAAGAAATGTGGCTAAAAATACATGCAAGCATTTCAAGCAGTTAAAGCATGGTCCCTTCGTGCATCTCCCAGTTGCTTCCCTATGACGCTTTCCAAAAATCAATTCCAAAATTTCTCTACGCTCTCACAATCACTCACCTGCGTTCTCCTCTAAAAATTTGTGTATCTTCACTACCCTCATGAGCATTCCAGTTTTTTACAATTATCCCAACTCTAGTTGTCCTTCGTTCGTCCCGCATAATTTTAAAAACTACGCCCACGCACGACATGACCTTAGCTGCCCCTTATGCAAGCAAACCTGGGTCTGCAATCTACTGTTTCACAGCCATCTATTTCTGGCCTGCAAGTGCTGTTTTTGTTTCTAAGTCGCTTCCGTAAGCAGTGTACCATGGCCACTTGACTATGCCATGGCCACTTGATTAATGCCGCTTTCCTATGGCCTACCACTTCACTGGGGAAAGCGTAGAGACAGTGATACAGCTGAGTTTCCCGAGTATGTCACTGGAAGTACGGCCCAGCAAACACGAGCAAAGTGTTTGCGTTGCTCGGGCCGCCAGCTACTATGGCCTCTGGTCAGTGCCCCCAGGCTCAAAACCATTCGTGCGGCCGCTCCGCGAATTTTTGTTTCCCTCGGCGGGCTGTATCCAGCAGAGCAGGAACCAGAATTGTGTGGTCATGCTCAAGTGAATCTCGTGGTTCTAAAGCTGCAAATGCTGCAAACCGACCACAATCCTAAACACAAATCGACCTTGGGTGCTTTTTCCCCCCGCGCGCTTGCATTACAGCTCCCAAAGCAGTAGCAAACTGTGCCAACGAAACATGTGCCGCCGGGACCATCCTCGAGACCGCAACGTGCAACAGAGCAAGCAGAGCAGCGAAATGGGAAGGAGAGAGTGGTATGGACAGGGCAGCGAGAGGAGGAGGAAGAAGGAGAGAGAGACAGCGCCCACCACCAACCTGCGGCAAGCAGCAGAGTGGTTCTCCGCTTGTGCGAGTCGTCGTAGAGCATGTACAGGGGCTCGGGAGTAAGACCGTCCCCACTGCTGCTGCTGCCAACAGAGGGCACCCGGCCGTAGGGGCTGGCAGAGCCCCCAGCGGGAGCAGGGGGGGGAGGCACGGGCTGGCACGGCTGGAAGGCTGCGCCGCCCACACCAGCGTGCGCCAAGGCGTAGGGGAAGAAGGCGCCACCCCCCGAAAGGAAGTCCCGTGTTAGTTGCACCACCACCACCAAATGCCAGAGGGAAAGAGGACGACCATGCAAGATGGGACAGCGCATGACACTTTGGTAAGAGAACCGACTGAGAAAGAGAAAGGGAAGAGCTTTCCATAAGCACGCGTGCAGTGCAAGGGAAGGCTTCGTCATGTCACAAAGTAATCAATGACCTAATCAGGGTGGGCCCAAGGGTATGGGCGCTTGGTACTTGAAGGTCTGTCTTGCACTAAACCACCTTTGAAAGCATGTATTTTCGAGCAATATACACCTTGCCTATAGGTGCACTGGCCAGTTAGAAGGAAGGAGAAATATCTGCATGATTGGAGGACAGTAAACTCATGGACTAAATAAACTGCTTTCTTGCCGTGCTGTGCCTCACGAGGCTGTATACAGTCCCAGTTTGTAAAACAACTACATTTAACAGCCATAAAGGATTAAATTTGTGTTAAGAGGATTCTTTCCTGTACACATGCCCAATAGCAGGTTATGAAATTATCTTTCCTCGTTTATCCGGTACTTGGTGAAAACTTGTGGGCACTTATCTATGCCCTAAGTTACCTCTCTCTTTGGTGCCAGGCTTCATTAGTGGAAGTTGACATAAAAATATTGCATGTGATTCAATAAAAGATCTAGTAAATCTCTCAAGGCTCCCTGAAATTGAGGCACGTGAAAGGGAGTACACATTTTTTTTAGATTCCAACGGAACCAGACATCAAAATGACATGCACTGGCAAAATGACCGAATGGTACACACTTCTCTGAAAGATGAAACCCAAAATATAGTAGAAACTATGCCATGAAACCCCACTGATCTTTATCCCATTTTTGTCTTTATAATTTACTGTTCCGCTCACTTGCAGCAAACCAAAAACATTTTGGACCTGACAAGCTTTCATAACATAAATTGAGCACAGGCAACAGCAAGAAAAAATGCCTAGATATGTCTCGAGGCTTGGCCCCTCCCGTGTATCGTCAACTATGGTCACCTGCAGGGTGCGAACGCCAGGGAGCCAGTTTCTGACGCCCAGCCTACAGCATGCATTCATTGCCTTCCGACATGCTTCGTTTGCGCGCGCGTGCTCGAAGCTCACGAGACATCAAAGTGTTATAGAAAGCCCGCACTGGAGGCAGGGAATCTGAAAGACCCCCTGCCATTCTCATCAGTTCCCATAGATCCCACATGTCCCCAATTTGCTTGCCAGACACAAAAACAAACACGCTCGCTCACAGCCAGGCGCCAACCGCAAAACCCACCGGCACAACTCCGCAGAAAAGCGACAACGAAATCCGCCGACTCACTCTTATGACTAGCGTAAGGGATCCGGTGCTGCAGCTTGGAGGCCCGCGCAGGCAGCGTTCCGCCCTGCACCTCCCCTCCCGGCGCCGTCGTCGCCGCAGAGGCCCGGTGCTCCACGTACTCGTTCATCACCCGCCTCCAGGTGGCCGCGGGGTGGTGGTGGTAGGCATCCCCCCGGCATCCCCCTCCCAGCTTGCCTCCCCCCACCGTCCCATAGTCCCCCCTCTCCGAGCCCCCACCCGTCCTGCCGCACCCCCCGTCCCCCGGAGCGAGCGTCGCGTCCGGCATCAGCATCGTCTCCACGTCCAGGTTGAGGTTCTCGAGGATGTGCGCGTGTGTGCGGTGCACGCGCGTCACCTCCTCGCGCACGTGGGGGTTGGCCCCCTCGTAGGGCGGGGGGGGCCGCGGCCGGCGGGGGATCGTGGGGGCACCTCCCCCGCGGAGGTACTGCTCGCTGCGCGCCGCCGCGTACTGCTCCTCCGCGTCCGTGATCTCCTCGTAGATGTTGGGCTCCGAGCCCCGCCGGTTCTTCTTGTCCCCCTTGACCGACGAAGAGCTGCCAAAGAGCAGCTGCCGGGCGTAGGCCGTGGTTGTGCCGTAGATGCCGTTGGACTTGCTCGGCGAACCGCCGTTGCCGCCGCCCCCGTTCTTCTTCTTGGCCTTCTTTTTCTTCTTGTGGTTGTGCTTGGGCGGCGTGTCCGGCACCGAGACATCAGGCTCGATGGAGAGCAGCGGGTTAAAGAAACCGCCCCCCTGGTCTGCCACGGGGGAGCCCGACGAGGTCTCGGCGAGCGGCTCCGACGAGGACGGAGGCGGCGTGCCGTCGAGGCGGGGCGGCGGAGTGGTGTTGGAGGAGGCGGCGGACTGTGCGGTGGCGGTGGCCGGCATGGTGGCAGCGGCCTCGTGCGAGAGCAGCAGGGCCCCGAGGGGGCTCTTGTCGGGCCCCAGTTCACTGTAGTAGTACGGGGCCTTGGCAGACATTGCTCTCGGGCCCGGCCTCAGGACGCACGCCGCGGGCGGGGACGCCGCTTGCGGGACGAGCACATGGCACGGCAGCCCTCCCCAGGGAAACTGGAGCAAAAACGAGGACGGGTTCAAATAGGGGGCATCGGGGAGCAATGCCAGGAAGAACGTGACAAAGCGTCGAAAATAGGAGGGAGAAACTCTATATATTCCTACAGTTCATTTGCAGTTCTCTGTTCACTGAATATTATATTTACAAAACCACACAATTTAGAAAGTGAGCAGAAACATCAAAATCATATTTTTTCTGACATTCACTTTTTGTGCCTCCTGCTGTAGATTCTCTAAATAAAAAATGAAATAGTACAAATTACCTCTTTTTAAATTCAAAATAAAAACACAATTGACCACAATGTACCGTCCTCTAGAAAACAGTGCTGTATTGCTTTTATGCAATGCATGCATGCATTTGCTTCCAAAATAGAACAGTGTTACAGCGATACTTACATCTGAATATTGATAAAACTCTAGTCCCCCAATGCTATGCATTGCAAAACTACAGAAACGTGCATAAGTTTTCGAAGCGTGCCTCATAAATATAGAAGCAAGTGCAAACTTGAATTATTTATCCAAGAGTATTTGAATACTAAGCTTCACTCCTGCCACAGTGACTCACTCAAAATGCTCAAATGCTTCTTTATGTTTCTGAGACATCAAGTCGGATGAAAATCTCAGGAGCTTCCTGCAAGGAGCATCCAGCAAAAAGATGCCATCCTCTAATGGTATAAAGATAAAATTCCCCTTTCCGATATAACATAAACTGCCTTTTGACACTTCTATGATGCAGAAACTTACATTACTTAATAAAACAAACATATTTGACACACATTTAAGCACTGAATTATGACACTGCCATTTCCAAACTTCTTGACTGTGTAAATCAAATCAGAAGCACTCCACGCTTCAACAGTGCTGCGGAGCTCTGCAGCTCAAAGCACGCAGTGCCTGCAAAAGGACTGAACAGTGTTGCTCAGGCCAATACTGTTTAGTTCAATGCTGTTAGGGGACAAACATACATAAAATATTTTAATCGGCCTGATTATCAATATTTTGTTAAGTGGTTTGAAAGTGGGAAAACGTTTTGAAGTAAATGTGACATGCCAGCACACAACATGAAGTAAAATTTTTAAAGTGCATAAGGTGGACTGAGGTTTCAATCTAAATATGTTGTCTTGTGTTCTTTGCTCCATATAAAGTTCCATCATAACCAACAAACCGGTTAGAAAGAAGAACAGATTATTAGTCAGAAACTTTGTCAATTTTCCCGGTTTTATTTTTAAACATCTCCAACATTATGGCAGAAATAACCTGCCTTCCCAACTCACTTTTAACCCCTGCAGGAAGCTTACATCATCAAATAGACACACCAAGATGTCTGTACTCAGTACAGGCGGGATACAAGCACCCATCTTCCTTAAAACAGGGTACTGTATCAGCAAAGAGGTATAATTTTACCTGCCTGCACTCAGCACAAGCCATATATAAGCATGAAGCACTGAAAGACACAAGACTGCTCAGTAAACCACTAAAATAAAGAAATGTCTGTGGTCACAGCTAGGGCAACTGCACTTCTGAGCCTTCCATCCTACGGCCTTGCATTTGTGGAGAGAGCATCTCCACTTACTTTGCACCCAAAATGAAGCTATCCGCAATATTACAAGTATAAGAAGTTGACTCACAGACCACCTGTGGTGCTTCTTTTCGGGGTCCGGTCTCTTTGATCTACCGACAACCATTTTCTGCAAGAGTGGAGCTTGCACGCAGCAAGCCTACACCCCGAGCACCTCTTCGTCGCTAAGATCCTAATCAGGGCAAGCGGGGAGATAGCCACCTCAATTATACCTCACAAGAAGGAGATTGGTCAATAAGTGATAGCCCAGAATGATAAAAAGGCTTCATACTATGACCTTCGACAGCACTGTGGTATCTACTGTTGCACGAAAATGCTGTGGAGACACAACATAACAAACACAGTCGTGCTACACAAAGGTTAGATTTGTTTGGAAAGATGCAAGTTTTTAATGAGTATGACTGAATACTTCAACGGGGACGGTAGTGGCTCAGGTGTCCTCAGGCTTTATAAACTTCCAAGCAAAAAAGAGGAACAGAATGCAAACCTGTAAAGGTAAGCGTGACTGACCCCTTACCCACTTTACGAGAAAAACTTGTAGTCAGTAGTCTCCAGACTTTGGCTCTTTTTTAGAGGTTACGATGCACTGACTAGTAAGGGACCACTGAAAACGTTTCATATGTTAGGTCTCATTCACAGATAGCACTAACTTGGGCTATTTGAAAAACTGTGTTTTGTCGTTTTCCCAATGTGCTTCTAAGATCTTGTTTTTGTAAAAATATAATAATAATAATTACAATGATAGATTATACTCTTTTTTTTTATTTTTCTGGCACAGATCATATATTTGTGGAGGCAAATATCAACCCGTTTACATATGAGTATTAAAAAAAATTCAATTTTTGGCTTTGCGTGCAGGTGCTGGTCTTGTGAGGATTACAGGCAAACAAAATCAACACCAACTATTTGCAATTTTTTTTTCTCGTGACATGTATCACGTCATTTTCACCACCACAAAACGATCAATTAGCGAACCAATTCATCGAGCACAGAACGACGTCGATCAGCAAGAATCAAAACTACGCTAGAGCTGTAATGAACGAGCATAAATTGCAAAGCCGATAACAGCTACCAGATACGATCCGCGAGCCCCAAGACGTGTTTCCTCTTTTTTTAATCGGATTAATTGCTGTCCTCCCAAGCGGTGTCGCTTTTTGTTCCGTTGAAAAGGGCACCCAGCGAGCATACAGCAAGTACCACACACCCGCGCTTGCTCGATATATCGATTTTCGGGGCCAGACGCCTCTTTTTTTAAAAAGAGTAACAGCTATGCCACCCTCCCTTTTTATATGTGCCTGTCGGCGCGTGCAGGCTTGCTACTCAAAAGAAAAATGAATTCACCAAAAACAACATAGAAAACACTGTAGTCGATAAGGATCGCTCAAATGCATCTTGAAGACGGCCTTTTCGGCGAAATTTGATTCAGGCATGGAAAGGGCGGAATGTCGCCGGCGGCGCCTTTGGAGATTAGGCTGCGAGCTATGTTTTGCAACAGCGGCGCTCGGAGCCTGGTCAAAACCGTGAAATGATGAAACTGGATAAGAAAAGTCGGGCAGCAGAGAGACAACGGAATGTCGCTTCCGTGCGCTGCAAGCGGACGGGATTAATTTCCGTGCAAAAGCGTGCTGCGCGAGAAAGAACACAAGCGAGCGGATGACAGGCGAGCCGCGCTTGTCAAACGAGGGCCAGCGCTGGGTCTATTGATTGCTCGCGTGCGAGCGAGCCTTTCGGACTGGAAGAACGATTCGCTACCCGAATTGTCGGTAGTTTAAGGATCGGGTGCTTCGTTCAGCCGCCGACGCAGCTGAGGCGGCTTTCCGAAAGTAGCTCGAGCTAGGGGAGCGTGAAAGCGCTTGACAAACTCGATTACAACCTCGCACGCGTTCCAACACAATGATGCTCGCCTGCCGCTTCGGCCGCGGACAGCTGAAAACTAACCCTAAACGAGCCGAAGACGGGCGATCAAACTCGAACCCAGAGTCGCCGACGGGACCACGGTCGATTAAATGTGATTCCCCATCCATTAGACAATGCCCGCTCCGAGCCTTGCCAGAGGGCCTTCAAAGAAAATGTGCCCTTGTGAACTCCTGCAGTATACTCACATTTTTTAATAGACAAGTTAAGGCCACCAAGCGCTTCGAAGGCTGTCCCTGTTGCTCGTTTTCTCACCGGCACTCATCGTTTTACAACACAAACAGGCGCACAAGTTGATCAACAAGGCACTATGCGTGGAGTAAAAAAAGAAAACAAGGCTTTGCTTACGAGACCAAACACAAATATCAGCGTGAAACACTGCCAGTACGCATGTCAACTAAAGAGCAGCTCCGTCCGTCTGCTTCGCTAGAGCCCGTTTCATTGGATGAATGAAGCGGCGGGCGACCAATCGCGGCACGCGTTACATCGCATCCTCCTGGGCGTCTGTTCGTTTCCGTCAATTTAGTGAGGATTTTGTTCCGCGATTCCTGCAAGGAAGAGCGGAAGAGTACTAAAACAAAACACATTCCGCGTTATACCGACTTGAATCGCGCACGTTATGCTAATAGAGTCACGTCGACGGCAAGCGCCGAGGGAGTGTGCAGATCGCTCGCACGTCTACGCTTTTCTCTGGCCAGCGTTTCCGCGGACATGCATCTCGATGCCGCCAGCCGACGATTGCTGAAAGACCTCAACAAACTCAAACGTAACACCTGTCTCCGATCGCCGCGGGAGGCCGAATGACGACGAAGCCGACGTTTGATGTTCGGCAATTAAAATAACACGTCGCCATGAGCGTTTCGCAAGGTCAGTGCCGCTGTTAGTCGCACGCCCGAGGCCTTCGATACAAGGTCTCGCTTGACTCTGCGCTGCTTTTCGACTTCATCTCGACGAGAAATGTTGTCGCGTTTCGGCAGTGGATGGGTGCGGTAAAAATGGTCGCACTCACCCTGTACAGTTCCATCGGTGTGCTGTGGCGCGAATTCGCGCGGCGCGTCCTTTGGTGTTCTCGCGTCTTGCATCTAATTTCACGTCTGTCTTTTGCGTACCGCGCGCGATTACTTCATTAACCCGTGCAAGCGTGAGCAGCCTTGGGTCTCTTTTAGCCTTGACGGTTGTGGAGCGCTCATTAAATAACGACTAAAAGTCGGCGACTTCGCTCTCGTTCCTACGTTCGCATTTTTTTTTTTTTTTCGAATGCAAATGAAGATATTGCGCGTACGCCGGCCCAAAAAGAAAAAGAAAAAAGCAAGTTCTTCCTGCCATTACGGCGTTTTAATTGTGTCCTTAAATAACATGAGCATCGAAACCTGTATTAAATATTAACAAAAAGAACCTGTGCAGCACTATAAGAAAGGATGTGCAAACAGCTCTGAATTCTATGCTGCTGCACATTTTCTGCTCAGTGAAAAACATCTGGCAGGCCACCTCTTACAAATGCTTTGGCAGTGCCAGAATTTCCTGAATGCCAGCTGCTTGTTCGCTGTGCCCAGCTCCTGACGATATGCTTTCTACTTGCAGCGTCACCAGGCATTGTGGCCGAACTACTTGAGATCGCCATCCACAACATCCTCTACTCGAGGAAGGTTTATCCGGAAGCAGCTTTTCAGAAATCTCGCAAATACAACATCCCCATACAAGTAAGACACCGAGAGGCCCTCATGAACTTTGTGCCATGTTTTCTTGGGAAAATGAAAGCTTTCTTTCAAGCAATTTACTGCAACAAAGCGTTATCACTTGTTCCACATATCAAGTTTCACCAAAGCATCAATGATTCGTCAGTATGCTGTTCCACGAGACCTCACTGGGAGGACATCTCGACATAGAGAAAATTTATCAGCAAATTTGTGCTTCACTATGTAGGCAATAAGCTGTCCTCCCATACACATGCAGGAAAACAGACAGGCTGCCACAGTCACTGGAGGTACAGCACATGTTTCCGTGTTAAAAATCTGAATGTCAAATCCAGTAAAATACCCCATGCCAAGAACAAATAAAATGTAGCCTAACAAGCACCATACCTCTACATATCCCAATAGACTGTAGAAGAGTAGTAAGTTGGGCGAGTTGGTAAACGTTGAACATGGTTAAAATCGCGCACAAAGAGACGAGGACAAACGAGGAAGGAACACAGAACACAGACGCCTGTCTGTGTTCTGTGTTCCTTCCTCGTTTGTCCTCGTCTCTTTGTGCGCGATTTTAACCATGTTCCCAATAGACAAGTGCGCGTTTGGGAAGAAAACTCGGGATGGTGCCGTGGTCAGAGCAAAGCTTAGTTTCCCGTAAAGCAAAATTATCATCAAATGACGTGCCTCAACCAACGCACCATAATATCCAAAGCATATCTTATGCTTCATCTAGGGCAAAATAGACAACAAAGAAAAGGAAGCTAGCTTTTAGCGTGCAACCCACGAAAAAGCTTTAAAAAATTGCTCGACTTCGGTCTCTGCCCACTCATGAGTCCACAAACTGCCGTCAACCACACCTCGGGTGTCCTACGTCATTCCAGGGACAAAGAAATAACTTTATGCCTTCGCTCACTTCCTAAAACAAAAAAGGAGCAGTCGCTAACGTCGTCAAAGCTCTGGTCATTGATCTTGACGCGCCAATCACTGGAACCCAGATGTGCTATGTAAACAGTATCTTGACGCACCAATCACTAGAACCCAGATGTGCTATGTAAACAGTTTGTTGGTACTTTTTTAAACAACAGAAACTATAAACACATATCTAGAGATGGTCTATTTGTTGGGGAGAGATTATTTGTCGGGTCTTTACCCTGATGCCTCCACCAAGCAGTGGGAACATCGGTGTCGGGCATAACTCGGAAGAAGTTCCCAAGAACTGAGGTCTGTGTACATTTCGCATAACGCGGATCTTGTAGTTTCTGTGTGGGATTATAATAATTTGAGAAATCTCGCCCTATACTTATCAATCCTCAATTTTCAACCGTATGGCAAAGTTGTGTTGTAAAGAGAGAAACATGGTATGTTTACACCTTTATATGCTTAGTTTCGTGCATTTCATACAAAATGCAGACGCATGTGCAACAGGATACATGGCTTGCGTGTGCTGTCGTTACACCGCAGTGGTGGTCATTCCTACTCTTTCTTACCGGGAAAAACGTATTCAGCGGGGTCAAATATACCCTTTTGAAGGTACGCGCACAACAGCAAGGCCACCATAATGGCAGCTGATGTGACGTCGGTGCAGGCCATGTGTGCGGTTTTTCCAGCCTCTAATGCCACTGCCACCCGATGCGGGCGCAGGTGGCAGTGCACCCACAGGTAGTGGACTACATCGACAGCTGCGTGATGACAATGCACAAGTTGCTGCACCGCAACGAGCTACGGAAGATGGTGCTGCACATCGCCGACGCCGCCCACAATCCTGTCGAGCAGTTTGTCTTCGAGGTGTCCGTCCCGGTCGACGGGGCGCCACAGTCCAACGGATCGAGCAAAATGGAGTATGTCGTGCAACGAGCCTCTTGCAGAAATTTTCTATTCAAAAGTTACCTCAAAAGTTGTAGGGACTGGATGAGGTGCATCATACTAATTTCTTTCTCATCAGGTGCATATTTTATTGCGTAGACAGTTCATCACACCAGTTTATTTCGAAACTGTAGTCTATTGCAACATAATGCCGCAGGCGGCGCTAGCTTGCGACTTTCAATGACACTTTGGCGCACATGCAGCCAAACACGGAAGTAGGCAACAATTGTGTGCTGGAGGCAGCGCTTTTGCTAATCTTATGTTGCAACAGACTAGAGACAGAGTGTGTATAGAAAATGAAGACAGAAAGCCTGGCGCTTTCTTCAATCTGGGACCAGCCGACTGTATTGCAGTCGTGTTTTTGCGTGTCTCCAGGAGACGGCAGCACCTTTGCGTGGAGGTTAAAGGCCGCTTCATGCGTTTTGTTTTACAAATAGTAACAAGTGTGTCAATACATGAGGTGCATGGCATATGCAGCCTTTGAAAAAGCATGGCAGCCTAACACCAAGCTGAACTATCAAGACACACTCTCAACAACAATGACTCTCTGTGCTGAGGAAGTGTGAACCAGCATTTCTAAATCTGTCGGTTGACAAGCTCTACGGAAGAGCGTTAATCGAAAACAGTCATTCTTCGTTGCTCGCACGCGACCAGGTATGGGTGGATGGCAATCCCAGTGCCACCTGCGGCACCGCTCCCACAAGCAATGGAGAATGACCGTTTCCTGCTTTTTTAGGGCTTGAGCGGCGTTGCCGTCGGCGTAACCGTAAGGTCACATGACCCCCCCCTTCAGGTCACATGACCCCCCCCTCAGGTTACGCGGCACCCCCAGGTCACGTGACCCCCCCAGCAGTAGAAGGGGGGGGGGGGGGGAGGAGAGAAGAGGAGGTGGAGGTTGAAGGATGAGCAGGAGCTGAACAAAGAGGAGGGGGTGGAGGAGGGAAATAAGGGGAGGAGCAGTAGCAAGCAGGATCACGAGGGAGGAGGAGGGAGGTGGGTATACCCTCAGTACCCTTCCCTCCTCCTCCTCAAGCGCTGCGCTCCAATTCGGCATTGCAGGGAGTTGTAAACGGCTTTCATTTTTTTTGTGCAAACTTTATGTTCTTATATAAAAGCCACAATAAAATCACTTTCCACCTTAGGCAATTTGTATCCAAAATTCCACTGGTTCCGTCGCTTCTGTTTTTTGGGCGGGCCGATAGCATAGCGATCGCCACCGAGCAGACGTGCCACGAAAAGGCGAATCTGCTCAGGAGCTTGTCAACCGACTTTGATCTAATAACATTGGTGTTAACTGTATCAGCGGACCTTACTGGAAAGGCGTCAGGAACGTACAGAGTGCTTATACACTTCAAATTGTGACTGTTTTCGCAGCAGCAGGAGGAAGAAAACACTATTTAAGCTGCGCCACCAAGCTTCCCCACCACAATACCAGATACTACATAGCAGATTTTAGTGCCTTATTTTCTTCAATGCTGAAGTCTCGCTCTTTTAATACATTGCGAGGGGAGAGGCAAGCCTCGAGATAGCACTCAATCATTTATTCCGGCTTAACCCAGTCATCTGTGTCCGACTTCCTTTACCGACTTCCTTCAGAGTCGTCTGTCGTTTTCTTATCAGTGCCGGCTAGAACAGGCAACTGGTGCATGCATTCAGAGCTACCAGTGACACATATCTGTACGTAAAAAGAATGTTTTACTTGTGGCATTCGTAGACTGAAATTCAGAAAACAATTGTGTTTCCCCCTACTTTTAGGATTCAGGAGTTTCAGGATTAGACTTTTTGCTTGAAGTAAAAAGTAGATATTGATATTTATTTGCCCTCAGAGGTGATTTCAGCTCTTAGAAATATGTGTTTCAAATGCAAGCTGAGGTTGTTTATACTGAAATTACGTGGGTCCAGTTACAATTGTCTACAAAGAGTCTCAGTCCTTCTCTTCTTTTCAAGAAAAAAATTACACATGAGAGTTTCACCTGACTTTTATAAGAGGTGCCTAGACAGCAAATGTCAAGTACCATTGGGTTGTCCCAAATTCAAAGGGGAACCTGGTACTCAAGTAGGTTTTGGAGTGTCTAGTCTGCTGACCCATCTTAAAAAGAGTGTTTTACTGAGAAGGGTTATGCTTTCATCTTTTTGTTCCCTACTTTTGATGTGTGACCCTGTGTTATTTCGTAAGTTATTTTCAATGACAGACTGGTTCTCTTACGCAGTTCAGCGATTCTTGCAGGCAACGACGGAACTCCTTCTTTGATGATGTTTCATACTCCCACCCAATTTATGCTGCTCAGTTACTAGTTTCAGCAGTTTCACACAGCATCATTTCACTTTTCCATCAGCGCCAGTTGATTGTGCTCTTAGCTTGCACTGAGCTGCCCAACCTGGTTTTCTCAGTGACTGAATGGACTAACAGAACATTGCTACCTCCAAAGTTTAACTACACTGCTTGTGCATAGGATTCTATGTTTTTGGATAAATTCAATAAAATCCTAAGCCTTTAAAATTTTTGTCAATTCCAATTTATCTGAAAAAGTCAACATATCAAAGTTATGATGAAAAAAAAAAAAAAAAGAGAAAAGACAATAAGTTTGGTTACGGCTCATGGTCATAGGTCCCGAGGAGAGTTCACTTCAGTTACTTTTGATATCTCTTACTATTGTCCCAGGAGAGTTCATTGTATACTTATCTGATCAAGGTTCGTACAAGACATCAGGTCATCGCACTTCTGGGTCATGGCAAAAGCCACTGTCCCTGATTTCCAGCTTGGATCATACTGTTTGTGCTTCTGAAAGAAGCCTATCGTGTTTATATAACTGAAAAATGTGAACCCACAAATTTCATAGGAGGGGGGCAGGCCAGCTGGAGCTTCTGTGCTTCCCAGCAACTACTACGTCCAGGGTTTTAGCGGTTTTGAAGTATCAATGTTTATTCTAGCAACACTTGTTGCAAACCTTTCGTGGGATTGTTGGTATTTCCATTGACAAGTGCCCCGATGCCAAAATGCAGCTAAAGAAATATCATCCGATATGGAAGAAGTTCGGGTATATCTATGTTTGGATATTATTTATTTTAATTTTAAAAAATGAGACGTTTACAATACCCTGTAACACCGAATGGGAGCGCAGCTCTTCAGGAGGAGGAGGGAGGGTACTGAGGGGAGGGTATCCATCCTCCCTCCTCCTCCTCCTTAAACGCCTCCTCCCCTCATCCTTCAAGCTCCTCCTCCCCTCCCCCTCGTCCTCCTCCCCCTTCTTGCATGGTGCATCATGGGAAATGTCCCAGAATGCTCTGCGCAATTACGGCAACGCCGATGCCACTCAAGCCGGAAACGGGTGCCTAAGAGCTGCGCTCTAAAATTTTGGATAATTCGGAAGCAAAATTAAACTTTGAATTTCAAGAAATTGGCAATCTACCAAGAAAAAAAAAAAAAATTTTCAATTGAAAAATAAACTCTGAAAAACACCCTCCAAATTTCACAAACTTCAAACTCCAAAAACTCCAAAAATGCAGAAGCCTAGTTATAGACCTTTTGAAAGACCGCCTTCTGCATGCCGCCATCTTTGTTACTGGGCTCTGCAACACATCCTGAGCACGCATAGTAGCTCACAGTAGCTCGCTCCCGCATAACATCAAAACCGCATGCAGTGACTCAGCAGTTCTTGCCTGGTGATAAGCACTGGAGAGGTGTATAGTGAACTGCAGTACTACTAGTTAGTGAGATAGCAGCTGTTCTTTCCTGCTTCAGGGAGGACTCCTACCTGCTGGACGTGGAAGCCGCTGCCCGTGCCATCTGCCTCAGGGTCACCACGTCGGACTCCGTGCTGCAGGACAACCCGGAAGGTGGGCCGTCCTCTCACTGGCCACACTTTCGGACCCGACGGAAGTTTGTGAGAAGAGCAAAAGAAACAGTAATCATTATGAGCAACAAATAAGTGCACAAACGAGCTAACATATATGAAACATGATTACGAAAAAAAACAAAAAAACATGGAGACACCGGGTAGGATAAAAACAGAGGGGACAGGACAAACACAGTCTCAAACACTGCTGAAAAGTTTTTTGACAAGTAGCCTCTTTAAATGTAAGTCTGAATGCTAAGACAGGAAGGGACACAAGAGATAGAAAAAGAACACAAAACAAATGGTATATGTATCACCACCCACTTTGCATATGTCACGGTTGCAACGGCCTGACCCAACCAAAAAAATTAAACTGATCCGTCTTTCTGTTTTCGTCACCAACTAAAATAAAAAATAAAGGTCAAGCTTGGATAAATTTTTGGTAATTGCTGTACTGCATTTTCTTTTCTTTTTTTTGTGATGTGCTAGCCTTTTGATACATTTTCTAGGGGATTGCAGTAAAGTATAATGCATAGCAAGCCGGGAAAATCTAACATCCAGTAACACTTTCCAAGGCCTATAGATGAGAAAGAAAGCAGTCTACGTGCAGCAACTTTTTGGCATTGACTTTGACAGCTGTGGAGAACTACCATATTTATTTAGAAACATTGGCCTTTTGATGTGAAAAATCTTAGGCTGCAAAGTGAGAGTAAATCTATGGAACCAGTGTGAACAGTGTGATGAAAACACAAAACTGGAGTGCTGCAGCATTGCCTGTGAGCATAGTACACTACACGACACTGTTAGCCCGCACGCAACATTGGTGTTGTTTCTCATTTTACTTCGAAATGATTTTGGCACGCACCGCATTTTACAGCTTAGGTTAGTACCCTAATAGACCGATCTCACCAGCCAGTTTGACTATGCCACCGCTGCCGCAATTCATCGAGGGAACTTTAGTCTTTTTGCACGTGCGACAACCTCGCTGCAGCTCTTCACGTGCAGAGCACGAGAAGGCACGAGCCCTCGCGTGCACGGCCGTCTGCCTCCTGTGAACTAAAGTTATGGTGGCTTTACGCATGCGCCCAACGCTTAGTGAGATCAGTCTATTGGGAACTTTCTATGACACTAGTCGTTTTGATGACAATTAATGTTTTCATTCCAAGACAAAAGCAGAAAAAAACCGCGATTGCTTGTTTGAGTTAACAGGGTCCTCCTGCTGTGTAGCCGTCACAATTTTATGGGGGGGAGAAGAATAAGTTTAAGGAGTCATGTGTGAAGAATACTGCACTGCATCAAGGGACATGGCTGCACAGGGCATGGGCTTCAAGCGTTTCCACCTGTGATGCTACTTGCAAGACGAACAGAAGTTTGTCAGGGAGCTTTAGCCCAAACGACAATATTGCCTTGTTTGCTGACCAGTACCAAGTGCTCCAACTTTTCATTGTTTCCTCCAGGTTGCTCGTTCAGCATCCAGCTGCACGTTGCAGAAAGCACAGCCATGAGGTTGTCCCTCAGTGACGATCCAGACGACCAGGTGGGCCTTTCCTTTCCCCTTTGTCTACGGAGCCCATTGATCTCATTATTATTCTTTTTATTCTTATATTGCACTGTGCAACTTGTTGGTCATGAACTGACCTTGCTTTTAAAATATAATTTCTTTTTAATTGCACTTCAAGTTGCATATTCTCCGACAAATGGCCAATGTGTATCTGACTTGCAAAGTCAAATGTGGAGTATGGTATATTCCGAATCAGGGCACCGACAAACCTTCCCTTTCTCGCTGCACAGTCATTTCCGTGGGTTGAAGCGGACAGCAAAGACACCGACATTCCAGGCGGCAGCATCATTCCCTTGAAGTGCGCCAACGTCACTGTTGGAAAGGTGACTGCATAAGCTGCATTTTTGTTGAAACCTTACCGTGAGTTTGTGCAGGGTGCATGCAAAGGAAACAAGTACTACCTTGAACAGGAGTTTAGGTTTCTGAATGTAAAGCATTTACCGTAATCCACATCAGGGGTGTCTTTCAGTTGGGAAAACCACACTGTGTGTCAGAGAAGCTGTCTCGGAACAGTTAGAAACAAGGTCCTCATAGAAGTAGCCCTTACTCTAACAAAGAATAATAAATCATATGTCGACCTGTCGACTGAAGGACATCGTTGAGCAATACTCATACTTTCACTAAATTCAAGTTTAACTTTATTGGCTAGATAAACAGCTTAGGGTTTGCCTGGTGGTGATGTGAATAGATCCGTTTGTGCACATTGGTGGGACAAGCACAGTTTCTGATCTCATTCCCCGACCTGACTCTACATGGGTAAATTACTTTCAAAATGTAATATAATTACAATTACTTTGCTTCAAAAGTAGTTTAATTACAATTACTACTATGTGAAAAGTAATTACAATTACAAATTACTTTTAAAAAGTAATGCAATTTGCAATTACTAATTTCTGAGAGCGACCCGACTTGGGCCATGTAACTATACAAGTTGTATAGAATACAATGTATTTGTTCATTCCTTGCCCCAATGGAGGCTTAAGCATCGTTGCGTAAATGCCGCGTATTGTATACTTTTATGAATTTTGTTAAACTCGTGACACGACTTGACAGTTCGGGGCAATGAAGTACTGCATTCTTATATTTTTAATAAATAATGATAAATTAGTTCAAATGCTGGAAGACAACAGATCGCCAAAGAAAAAATTGAATTGTGACTTTTTTTAGCCAGGCAAAAAAAAAATGTGACAAGTAGTCATATAAGAATATTTTCACAAGTGTTAATATAAAATTAAAACCCACATGTGCTAATACAACTGCATTCCAATACAAACATCATGGTATTGTAAATTTATTACATTGAGTTCAAATTATAATTGCTCAGAAATATATAATAACCAAATCGGGACTCCCAAATCATTGGTACCAATATTTTCAGGTGCGAGGTCAGTCTGCAAAACGCTTATGCAAATAATATCCAAAGTAAAACTAACGGGAAATAAACTTGAAAATAATACAAAGATTCAAATATGTGACAGTACTGGAAGAGGGACGTAAAAAACAGGCAAGAAATAAAGAAAAGTAACTTCATAGACAATTCCAATTCCCAACCTCAACTGAAAGCTGAAGCAAAATTTTTTTTATCTTTCAATATTTTGGCATGTTTACGCTATTGTTTTCTGCTCACACAGCAGATGGCTCTACACGGCGCCGTTGAGGTAGGCTCCAAAGAGGATTGTTTCTCAGCTCGCAGTCTAAGCAACAAAACAAAGAACAATGTGACGCTATTTATGTTGTGTGAGTGTGTCTTTATGCGAGTTTTTCACCTCGAGTTAGGCCGCTTGTGCGAGCGCCGAGGCTTTCAGGGAGGTTCCGTTGGCGCTGCAAAGTTTTGCAAAAGTAATTGTAATTGTGCCTGAAATTTTGCAATTACTAGCACTAGAAAGTAATTAAATTACAATTACAAATTTTCAATAAAGTACTTTAATTACGATAACTGAATTACTACCCAAGTCTGAGTAATGTCAATTAGTATTGTTTTTAGAGGCTGATGTTTCTTGGTAAATTGGCGTTGTTTAAGGACATTCCATATGAGGAGACTATCCTCCTGTGTATGATCATTCAAAACGAATGACTTAGTATTTCCATAGGGCAGTTGTTCAGTGTAGCAAGCACAATGGTTTTGTTTTTATTTCAAGATGAGCATAAACGTGGCACTGGAGCTATATTGAATTCCTTGGCAAAATGTAGTCTGGATTACACGTTAATCTTCCCGAAGGGTGTCCTTATTCGCACACCGAGTGCAGATAGTGGTAGATTATTATCTGCACTCTGAGTCGGAATTTTTGAAGTTTGGAACATCTGGATGTGTGGGGGGAGGTAGGTCACTCTTTTCTTTAACATAGTTAGTAGACCCCCTCCCATTCCCACATTACTGCCCCCATCGCCTAAGCACAATGCAATGTTAAAGCGCTAACTGTGGCAGAGGTGTATTATGCATCAAAATCGTAAACCAGACTTTTCTTTCTTTTTTGTTTGTTGTCAATAAAAATATTTTGCCCTACAAACAAACAAACTGAAGGACAAATAGTTATCGCCTGCATCCTGCTTTGATGCCTTTTAAGTCCCCAAGGCACAAGTATACTTCAATCTGCACCCAAATGTGCCACCCAGTGCTAATCAATTTCATAAAGAAAAAAAAAAATATGCAGTTGTTTGTTTTAAATTATATGAATTCAGAAACGCAGGCCCCCACCCAATTAAACACGGCACAACCACTAATATCTCCATGGACTCAGTGCCGCCAACATGCCAGTGACACACCACAAAGATTGTAATTTGTAAGTCACTGTGTTGGAAGTTTCCCGCGTCCAAATCGCGCAGTGCGGATAGGGAAAATTCAACCCACTCTGCATGCACTCGGAGTGCGAACAGGGATCCAACACAATCCACAATCAGAATGCAGATAAGAACCCGGAAATATCCGCACTCGGAGTGCGGTTTATAATAAACCGCTACCTGCACTCAAAGTGCAAATAGGGGCAGCTCTTGCAAAGCTGGAGGTTCTAGAGCAATGCATTGACCTCCCTCTTGGGTGATGACGGTATCTGGTTGATTATGAAAGCAATGAAACCCTGTCAAATTCAATATATAATTACTAGTATACTCCAGTTTTTTCCTCGAGAATTTCTTTCCCTCCCGTACGTGTAGCCCGTCGGAGTACCAGTGTGGCTAATCCTTCTTTTCCTCATTAGAACCAACCCAAACAATTGAATGTAGAGGAGTGTTAATGTCCAGGTAATTTTGCAACGATGTTGAATGGGTCGCCGACTGTTTATGTCTGACCAGTCGGGAGTTCCAACTTATTGAAACAGATGCTTTTGTGGTATGGTGGTGTTCTAATGCACCTACACTATTGCTCTGTAGTACCAAGAAATCTTAACCAAGAAAACACTGGGCTAATTTGCTTAAAACAAAATTAAAAAAAAAAAAAAAAAGTTGAGGCTGCGGCGAGCATTTCACCAACCTAGACTCGACGGTGCTTTCCCTTTTGACCATTGTGGATAAGACACACTGAATTTAAGCAAGCCAGCCCTGCTGTTCCAAGTACATTAGTGGAGAGGTGTTTGTGTGGCAATGATCTGCGATATTGATATTGGCACGAGGTAAAAAGTATATCAAATGTTCTGCTCTTTCAGGTCCACCTCTATGTTGTGGAAAGTGATGGGAAAGGATCCAAGTGATATTCTTGTGTAATATCGGATCTCTACTAAGCTGGTCATATTTCGTTACGTATTTACTGCAAAGCACATTTTCTCTTTGCTTAAAGTGAAAAAATAATAAAAAAGTGGACTGTGCAATTATTCGACGATGCCTACACATTTTTGGCTTTGCAGCTGATTCATTTAGTTAGTATTGATCTATTTGTGTGTGCACCTGGACAATTCGGAACATCTGCTATAGGACACCAACTCTCTGGTGTCAAAGTTTCATCTCTGCCTCCAAAGTGTACAAGTGCGGAGTTTGAATTGCACGCCTTTGCGTTAAACTTTTCACCTGGTTTCCCAAGGACGAGAGTCTGCACGAGTGCAACAATGCCACCCGAAGGCGGCATACCGCCGCAACCTACGACCGGTTGCGGTTAAGTGTTCGCAGCTAGGCTTAGCAGGGTTTGCGGAACCTCTTCCAAACGTCGTTCCCTGAATGGGAACCCAAGCGCCGGGGTCGGGGGACGTTTGTACCCATTTAGCCGGTGGGTGTCCGACGGTGGGCTTCGAACAGACCACCTCCCCAAACCGAGGCAGACGCTCCGTGCCACTAGGCCACGGCGAGTTTCAATTCAAGAAAATTTTTACTTGGCAGCCTTTGGGACATCACTCACAGCAGTTGTTGCTATGCAGTATAAGACCTCAGTATTAGCCTGATATTGCACGCAAGTCAATTTGAAATTATTAAGCATTAAGAGTCATAATGAGTTAACTGCAATTCAACATTAATTTCGTTATCAATGCGATACACACACGCGTATTGCAGGAGAGCGTCACATGAGCTGTAAGGAAATGTTCCCAATGAAATAAAGGGTGTGGCACGTCTATGAAAATATAATGTTGTAGTTGAAGTGCATGCAAAGTGAAGCAGTCGAACTTTTAATCTTTGAGTAAGACGGTCTTTGACACTTGTGCCATCCACACAGATGTATTCAGGAAGAAAGAAACACAACACTCGGCTAAAACCAGGAGCTTTATTTATCATAATCATGTCAGCGTGTCCTCGGTCCTAATGTATTCCCCGACGTCTGCTTGATGGAAGACGACGATGGTCATGGGGTCGGCGCGCCGGCAGTCTTGTGTTGACTTGGCAGCCACGCCGAAACCCTGAGCAAATGGCAAGGAATTATGTGTGAACCAAAACACTGGCGGTAGTTCGGTTCCACATGCATTTCAGAATGTTCTTTGTGTGTTTGTTCCCAAGGTACAGGCCGCAGAAGCTAAAGGAAATTTCAAAAACCAAAAACGACAATATTTTGAAAAGGATGGGAAAGGTGTATGAAATAACCGTCGCCTTCAGCACAAGTGATTACAGGCATGGTCCTTCTAGATCTCTGGACTGGAAACTTTCCATTGCACTATGAGAGACCCTTCATAGGAAAAGGACAAAGTACCACAAGAGGCATGCTCTCGATAACAGCTTCAGCATTACAAAAAACGGCATCAATAGCCAGCAGCTCGATCAGTGTCGCCAAAAACACGCCCAACGCTGCCAATAAGTATGAGATGCCATATGAAGTAAGCAATGTTGAACAATCCATGCAAGGACACACCAAAAGTGAGAAGAGGGTACTGGTGTTGTTTATGGCATTAACCTGTAACTATTTATATTGCCACGTGCGTTCGTGGCCGAACGGTTATCGTGCTTTGTCCCACGCAAAGCGCAACGACTCGATTCCTAAGAGCGGAAGTACCTTTGTTTTATTTCTGTAAATGTTGCATTCTGGTAAATTTGAGAACACTTGCTTGTTCAAGTCTGGATGTTCCATGCGCTGAACCTTCTTCACCGATTGTTCCAGAAGTCCATGCATGTACATATACATACGTGGGCTTTTGAGCAAGTGGCGTAGAGCCCTTAGTTTCCATGAGTCGTGTTTATATGTATAGGCGTGTGTCTATCGGCAATTTTCTCACCGATATCGTCTTTTACACTGTCGACACAAAACAAATTACCATAACTCATTAACTTAAAAAAAAAAAAAACACCGGAAAACATATTTAGATTTTTCTTATCAATAAACACCGGATAAATCCGCAGGCTACCATGTTCTAACAGCAAAGCCCCACAGCAAAAATGTGTCTCTTGGTGCTTGCTACATTCTAAAATATTTACAGTATGAAACTGAAGCTTAGCTCCCAAGCCTGTCCACAAAAACAGGCTAACTCGTTTGAATAACATAAAAGTTGTCTTGCTACGGAAATCATAGCTTGTACACGCTGGGTGGCCAACGGGCATTGTGAGGAAAGAGTTAATACAAAACTTGCCCCTTTCCCGCAATGTTGTGGCAAAGGCTGCGGTAAAGGTCGCTTTACAGTGGCCGACCATGACCGACTCCAATACAACCGGTTTCCAAGTCACTTGCAACCGCCATCGCTGCTGCGCGGCCCGTCGTAAGCAGTCACAAGCGGCTTAACAACTGGCCGTCTCGGAGCCAGACGGAAGTTCCCGGACCAACCTTAACACGGAATGTGTTGCGTGTTGCTTCGGGGTGGTGTTGCTAAGACGGGTGGAACTCATGAAATGTACTTGGGAGCAGCTGCAACAGCTGTTTTGGAGCAGGTTGGGAGCAGCTGAAACTACATTCTGGAGCAGGCTAGGAGCAGCCCAGATCAAGCACGGGAGCAATTTCAATTGTGCTTAGCAGCACAGATGAACGTGAGTGGTTAGGGACCTTAGGTAGATGGGATAACAGTGTAACAGATGCAAAACTTGGAACTTTGGGAGCCTTAATGAGAACCAAAAAGAAAGTACCATATGTTTCTGAAGATAGTGTCCTTGCCATTTTCTGAGTGGCTTTCAGTCGCTCAAAATGCAAACCAGCACTGCTTATCGCGCAACCCACACGTGCTCGACATAGTAATTATATGTGTGAACCTCTTGACGTGCGTAAGCAACGGACGTGTAGTTGCGCGGAAGAACAGGGCAACAAATTTCGAGTTTATCCTATTGTGCAACTCAATACCGAAGCAGCAGACTACGATTAAAGGAGTTATCATATTCGAAGCAATAAGCAGGAGCAAGGTTAAAGTACGCCGAGCAGATCTACCGCTCGCCTGAGAGCTGCTGGCTGGCAAGGTTTCAGATCCGACCGCGTTTCAGTTCTATGAAGTCACGATTTATCTTGCGGGAATGCGGTTCTAACTTCTAACAATGAAGTACTAAAAGGAATCTTTTGCTCATTTATTTTCAACTGGCTGACGTCCGGATCCTGAGCCGCAGAGCCTCAGGCAATCTGACGATTAACGACTCGACCTCACCTCGGCCGACTTGCTTAAAGGAGCTGTGCAACAATTTCAGGGCTTTGCTTAAATAATTGTGGAAGTTGATGCCTGACACTTCTGCAGTGAACTACAGAAAACAGATTTTGCCTGGATACCCTAGTTTTTACTTAAAAAAATGAAAAAGATCCAGGTTTTTGCCGCCTCTCAACTCGTGCATCGTCTTCCGGGTCACGTGCACAGTGACGTCACTAGAGTAGGCGCGGAGTTCCGGAAAAGTTCTCTCTTTAGAGCCATCAGCGAGCAGCGAGAACTCATCCGCTGCCGACCGCGTGACCACCCGTCCTTGCCAGTGTGGCGCTGTCCCCCTCCCCCTCCGGCTTCTGGCGGCTGTTCGCAGTTTTGTGGACCTAGGATAGATGGCGCCACTAAAACTCCGTATAATAAAAGTTTTGTCGATGATACCAGGGTGTTGACGCATTTATATATATGTTGGAACGACAAGATTTGTAAAAAGAGTTACCTTTTATCGAGCAGGTATTCGCACAACTTGCTATCTTTCTTACAACGACCCAAGTGACGTCACGCCGCTTGTTTCTCATGGCCGCCGCTCGTGGCTGCAGGTCGGGAAATATTCCAAGTTTTGCCTCGCTATTACGCGGCGGAATCGCAACATTGCGATGAAAAGAGGTGTGTTTTCTGCCATTTGTGACACAGTGAACAATATCAAAAGCAGAAAATGCCAATTCCTTCAACGTTAAAATCGTTGCACAGCTCCTTTAACCGCTTATGGTTGAAGAATAACAATCTACTGGCAAGTGGTGCAACGCTTTTTAATCCTACCCCCAAGTTTTTTCTTCGCTTCCAACTCGGGACACATAGGGAGAATAAACAGAACAAAGGATTGCAAGGACGACCAAGCTAAAAGCGCTCCATGTTGCCAATCGATTCGATAAAAACCGAAACCAAGACAAAATGCAATTTGTTTTGGCGCACGTTTTGCGATCTGGTGCATAATGGCATGAGGTGTTGGCTGTGGTGCAGTTTCTGCAACATGGCGCAGGACGGCGCAGACAAATGTGTCTGGTGCAAAATGGCACCAATGGCGCAGCCGTTCCACCCCTGTAAGATCACGGCTTCTGAGATTGCTAGCGTGGATGCTATGCACAGATGAACTTGGTACGTATCTTGTGCCACAACGGTGCAAACATCATAGTGCGTAGCGTGTTTGAAAGAAAACCACACCAAAGCTGCTACCGCTCCAGCGGGAGTGGAATGCCAAGTTTGCATCTCCCGCAGTCGCATGCCCGAGCCTTGACCTTGCTATTTCTCGTCTCCCCATTTCTTCCGAAGCATGTGATTGTTCTCTTCCCTCTCGCCTCCTGCACGCACTCCCACCATATGTGTGAGCATGCTTGCTCAACCTGTTCTAGATAAAAAAAATAAATAAAGGCCGTAGTGCCCAAAGCACTGGATATTCTGTTACCTTCCAGAGAACAGCAAGAGGCACAGATCGGACCCAAATGCTGTGCAAGCGTTCGGCTTGAACTGCCGTCTAATTGGTGAGGACAGGAGTGCTATGGTGCTATGTCGGCTGGGGAGAAGCCACCTCATCAAAAAGCAGTCTGAAGGTCTCTTTTTCAAAGGATGGCTCTCGTAAGCAGAATTACAGTTGAGGCAGAACTTGCACAAAAACCTGGACGAGGGATTCCAGAAAGTTGAAAATCTCAATTCAACAGAAAAACAAAACGTTGACTGAACTTTGCTTTGACATTACATCTAGTTTGTTAGTTTAATGAGCATAGCATGTCCATAAAGTATTGTCCAGGGCAAAGAATTCTGGACAAACGATCTATGAAAGCCGAGTATTCCCGAAGAAGATTCACGAGTCCGGGAAAGCAGAGGCACAACTCACCAAAGGAATGTCACTCATGGAGTACACGACGACACCATTGTACTGGTTTGTATTTTCCGTGATTCGAGCCAAGCCAGACTTGAGGACGTGGTGGCCATAGAGAAACTGCTGCTCTGCACTTGGCTTCACCCATACCTTTTGCTGCAAAGACAATTTTTGTTCGGTGCGGTTGAGAGAAACCCAAGTCGATCACATTCTCGAGCAAACAAAGCCAGCAGAAGCAGATCCTAACCTTTGCGTAGGGGGCGAGGTAGTCCAGTGCTGTGACGTGCAGGTGAAACTTGCCGCTTTTGGTGAACTTGCCGAAGCAAGTGCCCATGCTTATCAGGTTCTCCCGAGAAACGTTGTTGGCGATTTTCATCATAGTCTCGCTGAAATTATTGAAGAAGCAAACATATATTATCAGGACCGTATTCTTAATTCGCAGCCAGTTGCCGCCAGAAGATACCCACCTGACATAGTAGACTCGATCTCGATGAAGTCGAAAGCAGTACATTCCATCTGGTCGATCAATCAGCAATTTGATGTTCTCTCCAATACTGTAAAAAATAAAATAATTACATGTGCGCATAACACTCTCAGTCTAGACGTGCTCGTGAAAGCGCAGAAGTTCGGTAAGATGGCACACGCAATCGTCACTCGGAATCATTCAACGAAAGTAATACTCACTATTTAGAGATTTTATCGAAGAACGCCCGAGTTTCTTCATCTGTAAGAGGACGCATCTTGGGAAGTTAGCTTTTACAGCCCGGGTCCTGCGGTCCTACGGGTCCCACAGACAGTCCGTGGTCCTGTCGGTCCTGTCCTGCGGCCGTACTGGCCGTACGTACTACACACGTGCGTGCGTGTGTGCTCACGCTGCTCACGCCGCTTGATGGCTTGATGGCTTGATGTGGGCTTGATGTCCAAGTTATTAAGGCGATGATGATGATTGCTTCGCTGGCTGCACTAATTGCGCCATCTATCGTGGATTCGTGACCCTATCCGCGTTTGCGTCCATTTTCGACGCACGTTTCGTTTGCGATTGTTCTGCGCGCGAACAGTGTTTTCCCTTGCTGTGCGGTATAACTTATTTGAAAGTTTAGGCAATGTCTCTTCCTCCAGTCAACCCTTCGAGCTTGCTGCCACTAGGTAAAAGAATTTTCCTCTAAATCTATCCGTATCATAAATTGTTTGCCCGTTCGTTTAAATCCCCATCTTCGTCGATGGATTTTCGACGGTAGTTTGACAAGCGGACACGAAATTGCTTGTAGCGTTTTGGCTCTAACTTCACGTGTGGCAAATTTCACGTGTCATCGGCCTGTTGTGTGTTTCAGAACTGATCGACAAGTGTATCGGGTCGAAGATTCATATTATCATGAAGAGCGACAAGGAAATCGTCGGAACACTCTTGGGATTCGACGACTTCGTCAGTATCCTTTGGTTCGAGCCGGTCTTTCCAAATTCTTTTGCGAGTTTTTGCCCATCTCCAGTCGTTCTTAACTGAATCTCAGATATGGTACTTGAAGATGTGACGGAATAGTAAGTAGTATTGATGAATTAGCAATAGATGACTTTTGCTGTACACGATTTGCACTTTTCACTGGAACCTGTGTTTATGGGCAGGGTTTATGATTCGAATGAATGACGGTAGATTAAGGTGGCATAGATAAGTGCATAAGTACGAAATTGAGGGTGACTATATGTAGCGTGCCTTTATAATCTAGGGAGCACCAGGTCACTTAAAAATGCATAATTGCCGTACTCATAGATTCACACTAACATATACCTATACTTCGTTTCAGCATAACATGGCAAACGGCAAAAGCCACAACCCCAACAAGCCAATGGGAGCATTGGAGAGACAAGTGAAAACATACTGTCAGGGTGAACTTTCCATGTGAAGAGCTATCACATGCTTTGCTCCATCACTGGTTGGTTCACAGGGTCGTAGCATTTGCCCTTTGCCAGGCTACACTGATGACAGCTACGAGTCAAATCATTTAATCTCGTCGAAGGTATACGTGCAGACTTAATTTTCTACAAAGCAGAAGATCCTTTTTGCTTCACCCTCTCTCCTGTTAGTTTCATTCAGATCTCTTTCTTTATCTCCCAAACAAGGCTAGCAAACAAAGGGAAAGGGGAACCAAGAGAAAGGCTTGTTGGGGCCATAGCTAGCCTTTGCAAACTCTTCACTTGGAAGGGAGGGTTAAACTCTTGGGGGAGAGGATGTGAAGAGGGGGGAGTCAGCAGTAAACAAAGGTGAAAGGCAGAAAGTGTATGTCATCATGATCTCTTTCTTTTTTGATGGTGTGACATATTCAGCACACTTTTAGAAAAATCATATTTAGTTCATCACTCATTTTTTTTCCTCCCTCTCTCTCTACTGAGAGGTATTTTTATTTATTTTCAGACCCGATGTTGAGCTGCGTTATATTTGGTGAAGTACCTCAGGGGCACTGTTATGTTGGTCTACAAACTTGCTGGATTGCCATAGAAAATGGAGCTTATCAGCAGCCACTCTCATTTTCAGCGGCGGTCAGACAGCCCTCAATATTTTATAGATACCACAGGTATAGCTAGTATGCTAGGCTCACTGGAGAAAGCTGTGCTTTCTCACATTCAAGAACAGTCTGACTGGCCCTTTACAGTGCCCTAAAATATTGAGCTAAGCAAGAGTCCCTTGCTCAACACTAAAGCCGATTTAAACTACATGGCTACACAACCGCAGTGACAAGTTAGGCAAGAAAAACATATCCACCATCCAAGCTCGTATTCCTCTGCTGTCCTTGCCAATCACGGTGCCTATTACATTATGTGACAGTCTTTATTTTAACATCCCACACTATGGAGGCAAGTGTGATCCCATCTTTGGAAGGTGTGGAGCCCCTCTCCCCCATTTACCACTAGCTGTTGTCCTCATTGCTGTTGTTGCTTAACCTTTTCGCTGCCGGGTTTTTTTTTTTTCTGACTGTTCCTCACCCCCTGTGATGCTCTGCAGGGCATGTAAACATATTTACTCAGGATTATATTATTCAAATTAAAAGTCATACTGATTACTAATAATGAATAATTAACAATATAATTAGGATGTCCAGCTGTTTAGAAAACTCTTCTTGTGTGAAACTCCTCAAAACAATGCACCACACGAAGTGGCACCTGGCAGCTAGAACACACATAGCGAGATTCCCTTTGCAGCTTTGGTCGAATCTGTATGTGATCACGGACGTGGCAGACTAATGTTGGGTTCTGTTTCACTCCAGTCGGTGGTATTTGAGACAGAAAGTGGCGCGCTGTCAGCAGCGTTAGATCTTCACCCTTCGATGGGCGTCCTCCCTTTGGCTTTGAGTTTCCCTCATGGTACTTTTCAATTAGCTGGCGGACTAGTTCAAGCCGAAAGTCTGCCATGCTCCTTTTTTTTAGTGGACGGTGTCATTTGCAGCATATTGCTGTTCAGGATAGTGATGTTCAAGAGGTGAAAGAAGTACTTTTTGTACCACTTCATGGATTTTCTTGTGACTGTACCGGTCACAATCACAACCGGGGGTATTGTTTTGTTCTCGCCTGTCTTCGTGTCCACCTTCGTGGACTCTGCCATGCCACCCTTATGCTTCGTTATGAGCATGTGCACTTCACGTGTACGTCTTTTAAAGGGATACTACAACGAAATTTCGGCGCTCATTTTTTGGTCTATATGTGTTCAAAAAAGCAGCATCACATCGAACATACCAATATCTTGTTAAAAAAGTCACGAAAAGGAATTTTAAAACGAATTAAACGATTAGCAAAGAGCACCTGGTGGATGTCGCTAACGCCGCGCTTGTAATGCCCGTCTAGGAACCTTGACAGCTAGTGACGGAGGTTGTCTCGTCTCCGGCCACGACGAGAGAAGAGGGGCAGGAGGAACTCCCCTCTTCCCGATAATGCCTTTTGTGTGTCGCAGAAGTCGCTATTGTCCCCCTACAAGATTACAGAAGATTAACCAGTCACTCAAAATTCGTACAAAAGCAGCCGCTTCGGTGGCTGGAACGACTAGGCCATCCTCTCGACATCAGCCTCGCCGTAGCTTTGCTCGTCTTGAGACGACCTACGCCACGATTGCGTTGGATGTCACGTGGTCTCCGCTGGGCCTTCTCCGAGCGCTTGCCAGAGTGGGCCGTTTATAACGAAAAATACAGCCACCAGGCTCAAAATACAAACGTGCGATTGTCATTTACGGATATTGTGGATCATATTCAACCTATTTTTGAACACGACGGGAATATTTCAAATTTCGTGAAGTATCCCTTTAAGCGGACGAAGAGAAGCTGGTCATTTCACATCTCGCTGGTTTCCCCTTCCTGCAGTTTTTTGTCTTGGCATAGGACACCCTTCCTGTTCTTCTGCATTGTACCGCAGGCATTGATATTTTCGTCAAGAGGGTAGGTGAACAGGTTTGGACTGGTGTACCAATTATCAACCCAGAGGACGTGCCCCTTGTGCAGGTACTTGTCCAGCAAAGTGAGAACAACTGATGCTCCATATCCTATCTCGGATTCATTGATTTCAGTCGAGGGTCTAGTGTACATCACAATGTCCATCACCAATCTTGCCTTTATGTCACAGAATACAAATTAGACCGAACCTGCTTCGTTTGGACGAGATATATTGTTTGAATGCCAATCGCCCTTTAAAGAGCAGCAGGCTCTCATCAATGCAAAGATCCTGGAAGGGAGATAGGACCTCATGAAAGTTTTTCGGAAGCGTCAAGAGGACCGAGCGCAGCTTGTGCAGCATGTCGCCATGAACCTGATCTTCATTATCGGAGAAATTAAGAAACCTCAATATGAGGAGGAAGCGGTTCCGACTCATCAACGTCGAGAATGCGGGTGTGCTCAAGAGGGAATCCATAGACCAATACTTGGCATTACTACAGCAAGAAATATGTATAACTCACTTAGAGTCAGATCTTTCCCACTGGTGTATACAGAATCCTGCCGCTGACGTCAGCACAGCGAGTACTTGGCACTGGAAAATGTCTGTTTGGTCCACAATTGCGTCCCCAGTGTCCGGCGTAAACTTCCAAACACCTCGAGCTCACTGGACGCCGCTGTGATGCCATTGCAAATTCCTGAAAATTATAGGTCAAAATTATGCTCTTGAGGGTTGAATTCTTCCTTCTTCCAGCAGAAATTCCGCACGTCAAGTTTTCTCTTCTTCCTCTGATTATTCAGTGGCACGAGCTCTTCCTCACTGTCGTCGCTGGACAAGTCGCTTAGCTGAGCTGCATCATCGTTATCACTTTCATCTGAGTCTGAATTCATCAACAGTTCCTGAATTTCCTCATTCGTCAAAGCGCGGATGCATGTGGCACGCTGACTCGCCGTGCCTGCACTGCTGAGACGACAACGAAGAAGCGCAGATGTAGGAACATGTGCTCCATCTGTTGTTTAAAATTTAATCTACAAGTTACATGTGTTTAGGTGACCCCTCCATGGATGGTGCTACATGCCCGCAATATTTTTTTTTTTGCATGAGCTGCCTCAGGAGTGACAGCGAGCGAGTTTAAAAGGCAACGCGAGTATACATGGGAGTAGCAGGGGGTGTGCGTGGGTGGTGTCCAGAAATATCTTGGGAGTGGCACTGAAAGGGTTAATGAATCCACCGCAGTATTGCGGTATATTTACTGTAGAATACCGTGCATTCGCCCATTTCATATTAAGTGCCCATTTGCGAATTTGTAAGATATGAGAAAATATGCACAGTACATTTATATGTACAATTGATGACCGGACAAGCGCCCATTCCCAACTTTTTCTCTATTATCTCCAAATTTTGAGTGGGTGCTTGCCCAGTATTTTATGGTACTAATGTTCCTTTGTACTTGCAGTGAGAGCACTCCTGAAGGGAGAAGAATCACCAAGCTTGATCAGATTCTCCTTAATGGAAACAACATAACAATGGTTTGTATTGTAGTTTAATCTGGGTCTTCCCTAAACCGCTACATTTTCTGACTTGTTTAGTAAAATCTGCCACTATACGTTAACCAAAGTTTTGTTTCATTTCAGATGGTCCCTGGAGGTGATATGCCTGATGCATAACTAAGTTTTCTGTGAAGTGTTTGTTTTCAATTGAATAAATGGAGGTGTGCCATTGGTACAGGTTTCTACTAACAAGGATATACTCTGTTTCACCTTACGTCCAGACGCAGCTGATGTTACGAGCTATCCTAGCCAATCCCGCTCTGGGGAGGTAGCCTGTGATACGCTTTCCGCACGTCGCTGTGCCCCCTCTTCGAGGTCATGTAACACTCGCACGACCTTGGATTGGCTCCAATGGCTTGCAGCATCGTCTGCGCTTGGACGTAACGTGAAACGGAGTACAGAAATGTGCTAAATCTTAGATTTTTCCATAGCCACATATCCTACATGCATCATGCATGGGTCCTCAACCTGTCTAGGAACACCAGTGCCTTTGGCAGAGTTGTATAAACAAACAGTTCACTAGCTCATAAAGTGAAGGGTGAAGTCCCTTTTATGCCAATTTTGGGCAAACAGATCATCCACAATGGACACAACATTGAGGCAGCTCAAAAGAGAGTCCTTGAATTCACATAATGTATCTACATATAAGTAGGGCTCCATGTTTTTCGATAAATCCGAAAAACACCTGCCGGTAAAATTTTTGTCAATTCAAATTTATCCGATATACTCCGAATTGTTATCTGCCCATGCCGCCGCCGCCCCCCCAGCAAAAAAAAAAGTATTTTTTTTTACAATTTTGAGCAGCGCAGGATCAATGGTCCTGGGAAAATGACACCATAATTATCTTTCAAGCCTCGGACCGTTGTCGGTCTTACGGCTTGTCTCGTCAAGGTTGGTTTAGGGAAACAGGTCATTGTACCATTCGTGTCACGACAGAAGACACTTTTTTGGTTTCCAGTTGATTGGGGATTTAGAGAAAGGAGAGGGTTTGTTTCGAGGGGTAACAGCTATGGACCATAGAGATTGTATAGATTAGGGAAGAGAAACTTCTCTATTACATCCGCGGGATAGATTGATGGGATGACTACGAGCTTCCTTGTGGCTACCACCGGCAATTTATTGATTTTAAGGTATTGACGTTTATCGAAGCCACACTCTTGTGCGACCTTTGTCGTGGGACAAATTAGTATCGCCAATGACACCAACTCCAAATTCAACTGAAGAAATGTTAATTGATACAAGCGCGTTTTATTTTTTATCTGGCATACGTTTGCATCTGGTTATTATTTTTTAATAGGAAACACTGCGAAATTAATCTCCGAATTTCGGAGAATTGGGGATTTACGAAAAATAAACTCCAAAAAACACCCTCTGAATTTCACGAAAAATAAACTTCGAAAACACGGAGCCCTACATATAAGGTGGACAAGTCCTATGCCCCTTTCTCTCCTGCAGGCCAGCCTCTAAAGGGACCACGATTTTCCAACTTTATTGTAATACTTAATTCAGTAAATCCCGAATGTCCACAGGACCCATAACGGAAATCAGTTTTCATTTTAATGCATTGGCCTTTACACAAAAAAATATGAAAGACCAGGAGTTGGTCTTTCTCCTCGTCGCAACAGGAAACAAGCAGTTGCAAAAGTCGTGGCATAACTTTGCACCAGAAGTAGTATTGACTTTGTAAGAGGAGCCACAAGGTTGTTTTCCTACTAAATAGTGACCCAACTAAATTTTGAATGTCTGTACAACCCAGAATAGAAATCTGTTTTCGTTCTGTGGTCATTTGTGTTGTAGCAGTTTGTGCCACAAGCACCTTGATACCCGCTCTTCTGGCTTATGGCCAGAAGCTTATGTATGGCTCGTACTGCCTATGTTCATCACAGGCACGTGCTGTTGGGTTCCAGAGGGAGGGAGGAGAATGCAGGGGCGTTGAGCCAGGGTAGGGTTTTAGATGATATAATTAAAAAGATTGGGGAATGAATGGTCGCTTTCGGCTCAACCAGACCGAGCGTTCCTCTGATAGCACGCTCCCCTTTTTATATCTGGTTCATTGATGCATGTCACAGCTTGTGCAGCCTTCACTCGTTGATTGGTAGAGTGGGAGGTGGTGGTGACGGCAATTTGGCTGCAGCCAGTAGTTCAAAACGGCGTGAGTCTTTCAGTGGTGGTTGATGGAGAAGTCTCGCACCGTGGCATGCCTGCGAATGGTAAGTGCCTAAAAGCTGTGGTCTGCAGCGCACTTTAGTGTTTCCACTCTTCAACAACTTGTGCGCCGGCAAGGTGGTCTGTTGAATGGTGCTAGCTTGCAACTGGCCAGTCAAGAGACCTCCAGAGCGATGCTGAGACGCAGCAAGCCGCAACAGACCGACACAGACCGAGACAGCGGAATGAGCGAAGACAGACCCCTGCAAGCTCAAGGTCCCTTTGTCTGTTGTTTCACAAAATTACATGGGGACTATACTAATAAATGCATATAAACGAAGCAAACAAAATGGAGTGTATTGGGGTAGCGTCCCCTAGTCATCTGGATAGGAAAGGCAGAAATTAGTCGCGATGTATGCTTTCAGATCCAAATAAAACTAATTTTATTTGATCCCCACACAATTCTTTTGCGGTTGATGCTCCATCTAAGTTCATGTCGTTGCTTGAATTTAGCAAATATAAAGTGGTAGCGTGTTAGTTTACATACGACTCGATGCATCGGCATTTGTAATATTCCAACCTTTTTTGTATTCAACCAGTGGCGTCGGAAGTATTTCTGAGGTGGGGGGGCAACGGAATTGGGGTGGGGTGGGGGGGTGGGGGGGGGGAGGGATGAAGCATCTAGAACAGTATGGATATATAAAATCGAAACGCTCAAAAAACGTTTATTTAGAACGAATATATGTCCTTCCTCTTTTGGAATGTGGTGATCTTGTTTTTCTCCCATGTTGACGTCTTCAAACAGCGTGAAATAAGAAAGAGCTCACTGGTGCCCGAAAACGGTTCGTCGTTCAGCCGTCCTTGACACGAACTCTCTGATGATAGAGTTCAGATCAAGTTTTGCTGCTCGCTCACTATTTACGTGCAGCAGCATTACCTGAGTCAGTCGCTTTTGTGACATGGTAGCCCTGAGGTAATTCTTGATACGCCGAAGTGCGCTGAAACTTCGTTCAGCTGATGCCGCTGACGCTGGCTCAGTCATTTCAAGTGCCGCAAGGCGCATCACCTCAGTCATCATCCTCTTGACCTCTGGGACTTGTCCGCCCAGAGCACGGCACAACTCGGGTACGGAGCCGATCTGACCGAGTGAACCATGTTCAGCTGCCTTTAACGGCTTTCCGGGTGAAAATCAGTAGCGTGGGATCCTAACTTCCTTTCAAGTTCTTCTGCAGTTTGTGGCTTCTCTTGAATAGCGCACAAAATTTTTTGCTCTAGTTGTGCGAGACTCTGCATGCCCGGTTGCTTGAATCGTCTTGCAAGCTCGGCGCGAACACAAATTAATGCTTCGTAGAACTGCTTCCGAAGGCCTGTCTCCGCGACTAGAAACGCTGGTTGACAGGGCTCGCTGCTCTGTGCGAACCTTCTTGGAGGGCCGCAAATAATTGAGCCCTCGTATAACTAATCCCATGATGATGAATATCATCATGCCACTCGTAATGCGAGAAATTCATGCCCGCGAAATATCTTAAAAATCGAACTCTGAGAAATTTGCGAAATATCGAGCTCGCGAGCCGCCATTACTAAAAACTCTCTGGGGGGGCGGTCGCCCCCCCCTGCCCCCCCTGTTCCGACGCCACTGTATTCAACTGTACAGTTGTATTACTGTAAAGCTAAACCCCACCTTAGCAACTTCCCACTTTTCAATGACATCTGCTGAAGCCAAGTTAAGGGGCAGTGATCTGTTTGGAATATAAACCAGTCCCATCTAAATAACTAAGTTTTTGAGCCGCCCATACTTAAGACGCGCATTCCTTCTCGGAGGCACTGAGGCCTGCTCACGACAAGTCAGTTTTCGGCTGGCATATAAAATTGGATACTCATTGCCGTTCTCATCCCTTTGGCACAGCACCACGCCAATACCTCGGTTGGTGTCGTCTCATTGAACAATGAAGTGTTTTTTGTAATCTTGTGCTCTTAACACTGGTTTAGTTGTCAATGATTCTTTAAGGCCATTAAATGACTGCTCCATTTGATCCATCCAAACAATCACTTTTATTTCTGTCTTTCTGAGTGCATCCGTGAGCAGACTCGCCATTTGTGAGTAATTTCTGATGAATCTTTGATAGCATCCAGTTAACCCCAGGAATGAGGAAATTCTCTCACGGCCAACATCTTAATTTCTATGGGCCGGCGAAGTCCCTGACCGACAATGTGTCCCAATTAGGTCACTTCCGCCCTCCTGAACTCACATTTCTTTGCCTTAATGGTAAGACCAGCAGTGCGAATGCACTCCAAGACAGTATGCAAGTGGACCAAATGTTCTTCCCATGATTCCGAGAAAATGGTGACATCTAAGTAAGGCAAAGCAAACTCTTCTGTGCCCCTCGGAACCACATCCATTAACCTTGAAAAACAAAACGGTGAGTTTTTCAGTCTAAAGCTTAGCAAGAGGGGACGGAATGTCCCAATGGGAGAAATAAATGCCGCATATCTACCGGCACGCTCCGTCATCGGAACCTGCCAATGGCCTCTCACTAAATCTATGGTCGAAATGTACTTGGCTGAACTGATCCTTTCAATGTGGTTTTCGATATTTGGGATCGGAAAAGTTTGATCTTTTGTGATGAGGTTCAACCTACGGTAAATCAACGCACAGTCTGGGATCTTTCCCCGGTGCCTCTACTAAGATCATGGGTGACATATAATCGCTTTTGCAGGGTTCAATGACTCTCAAATCTAGCATCGTCTGGATCTCGGCTCTGAGGACCTCTTTCCGACGCGGTGACACTTTGTATGGCCTGGAACAAACTGGCACATCCAATGTTAATCCTATATCGTGAGTTACGAGTGTAGTGTGAGCTGGCCAGTTTATGAATAAATCTTCATTTTTTCTGCTGCGATGTCCTGCATCTGTTAAAGCTTATTAATAAGGCAGAGCACATACTCAACAACTATGATGTCCTGCTCTGAACCCTCCCATACTTCTTTGATCATTCTTAATGGCAATCTCGGGGCAATCTTTATGTTATCCCGTAAGCTAGTTCTGCGGGACTGAACCCTGTCGCTTCGTGTGGCATTAAAGCGAACATGGTTCCGGAAAAACAGCTATCCCAATCTTCTGCATGCTCGAGACAAGCAGCATGTAGCATTCGCTTGAACACAGAATGCCACTTCTCCACACCGTTTGTCTGTGGGTGGTACACTGAGCTGTGAATCACCTTAATGCCTAGCTTCTCTAGAAAGGTTGTCATCAACGCGCTCATAACACACTACCTTGATCCGCCTGGAGCTCCTTTGGAAATCCTACCCAAGAAAAAAACTGAGAGCAAGGCATCCACAACTGCCGTTGAGGAAACCTCCTTCAATGGAACGGCCTCTGGAAACTGTTGCTGGGCAGAGCATTGTTAGAACATATTTAAACCCTCTTTTTGTTGGAGGGAAAGGCCCCACAGTATCTACGACAAGCCTTCAAAATTGTTCTGTGATTATCGGAAGCAGTTTCAGAGGAGCCTTCCACCTCTCATTAGGTTTGCCTACTCTTTGACAAATATCACAAGATCTTACGAAGTTTTCAGTGTTTTTAAAACAATTTGGCCAGTAGTAGTCCTGGAGAAGCCTTCTCTTGGTCTTTGCGATACCTAACTGCCCTGTCCATGTGTAGTTGTGACATACAGCCAATAAGTCTACACGGAACTTATGCGGAAGTAAAACTTGTTCTAATGGGACCCCACAACTATCGCCGTACCATAGATACAAAACACCACATTTTGAAAACACTTTCCTCTTTTGAGTGGTTCCCAGGGCAACAGCGTCCCAGCAATGGCTCAACGAGTCGTCTGTTTACTGTTCTCAAATTAGCTCTGCGCGCTTTATGGTCAATAGCACTTCCAGACTATCCGCCTTGAATGTTAAGATTCCCTCTTTTCGATTAGTGTCTAACAAAACTTGTCCGTCCCTTTTTGCGGGGACACTCAATCACCTTCTACTTCATTTACTTTGTCGCGCTTACTGTCTGCTTTATTATATAATAGATTTATTAGAGTCATTGCTAAAAGCGCTAGGCATTGCCAATACGTCTTCTCCGTTTGTTTCACCATACAATAACTTATGCGAAAACTTACGAGCTTGTGCTCTTGTCAGAGCTTGAATGGCACCTTCACCAAATACAATACCCTGATCCACTAAAATTTTCACCGATTTGTTAGAGAACAGGTATACTAGATATTGTGCTTGTAAATTTCGTGAGACGGCTGACTCTGTGGTCAGCTCGCCAAACGCACCTTCAATTTTAACCTTGGCCATAGGCAGACATACACTGTGCTCTTCGACGACTTCTTTTATCAAAAACTTGGAGTTGCTTAGACCTTACTTGTACGATAAGGTGAATGGCAGGAAATGTAAGGTACCGAGGGACAGTGCTGCTACCATGGACGCAGTGCACCCGTCATTCATGAACCAAGGAGATTACACAGGTGAGTGCGCTTGTGTCCGTGAAACTGACCCGTCGGCTGAAGACGCCAGGACCAGTCGTGTGGCAAGCCGCGCTAGCAGCCTCTAGGTTGTTGCACAGCCTCGATGTCCTCAGCAGGACTTTGAAGACCTGGATCTTGCCAGACATATACCGCCGAGAAGATCCCACCACTCCCACCAGTTGTTAGGTTCCAGATGGAGGGAGGAGAGCACAGGAACATCGAGCCAGGGTAGTGTTTTAGATGATATAATCAAAAAGATGAGGGGATGAATGGTCACTCTCGGCTTAACCAGACCGAGCGTTCCTCTGGTCGTGCGCTCCCCTGGTCCCATGCTCCCCTTTTTACATTTGGTCCGTTGATGCACGTCACGGCGACGGTGGAAGAAATACATTTAGGTAATGACTCTTGTCGTGGCGGCGCTGCTGTTGCATTTGTAGTCTGAAGAAGAAGAGGATCGAGCAAAAAGGTTGTTCTTCACCGGTACTGGAGCAGGGCGGTCGACTTCAACTGCCATGGCAGCATACAACAGATTGGCAACGAGGATGGGATGTAGGCGTGTGAGCACTGGCGTATTTTCTTGTGGGGTCGGCATTTTACGCTGCAGACCGACCACCAGTCACTGTTGACACTGTTGGGCTCGCAAGACTCTGGCCAACGACCATTCAGGATTGCAAGATGGTATGCTCGTTTACTTGCATACAGCTTCACCATGGTCTTCAAAAAGGGAGAAGACAACTTTGTGGCAGATGCTCTTTCGCGTATGCCTCTTGATGCGCCCGGAGAGACCCAGGAAGACGAGGTTGTCTGTGCCATTTCTTCGTGTCTATCGCCCCAAGAGTTAGTCGAAGAGACTTGCCAGGACAACCGTCTGCAACAAGTGATTGCTTTGACAACCGGCACCTGGCCACCAAAAAAGGAGCTGCATCCTGACCTGGCACCCTTTCGCCAAGTAAAAGAACTTTCCACGAGTGGAGACCTGCTGTTTCGGGGGGATCGGGTTGTTGTTACTACCGCTCTTACTGCAAAGATTGTGGAACTAGCCCACGAAGCTCACCCTGGAATAACAAGAACTAAACAGCGGGCTCGAGACTTGTATTGGTGGCCTGGAATGGACAGACACATTAAAACTGCAGTTAGGTTCTGCGTTGTTTGTCAAGCAGTTGACAAGTCTGCAAAACCCGTGGTACCCCCTCTACATCCAGTTGAATTTCCGTCTGCTCCCTGGGAAAAAGTGGGAGTAGACATCATTGGGCCCTTTGCCAATGCTCCCAGCGACTGCCGGTATGCTGCAACACTAATAGATTATTTCAGCAAGTGGCCCGAAGTGTGTCTGACGACACTTGTGACGTCAAGAAAGATTGTCTCGTTTTTACGGGCAGTGTTTAGCCGGGAAGGCTACCCTACTGAGCTTGTGAGTGATCATGGCCCTCAGTTCGTTTCTGCCGAGTTTGAAGCATTTTTGACAGAACGGGGAGTGCGACACACCTTCTCTTCGGTGTACCATCCCCAAAGTAATGGACAGATTGAACGTTTCAACCGTGTGTTCAAGGACTTTGCGCAAATCAGTGTCCAGGAGCAGCGTCCCCTAAAGGAAGCGGTGGTGGAGTACCTAGGAGTCTACCGTTGTACTCCTCACGATGCCACAGGCGAGAAGCCGGCGTTCCTCTTGCATGGACGCCATCCAAAGACGAGGCTGAACATCGTGGGGGGCCCGTCGAAGGATTTCATCGATGAACCGACAAAGAGTCTGGGAGAGCTGCGACAACGAGTGACTCGGTACCAGCAGAAGTTCAAGTATACGGATGCTCGCCGGGGAGCCAGAGTCAACGTGCTGAAACCTGGAGATAGAGTATGGGTCAAGCTACCAGGACACATTCCAAAAGGGAACCTTAGCTATTCTGCGCCCCTCAAGGTGGTGAAATACCTGGGGAAAAATGCTCACCGTCTAGAAGACGGAAAAGTGTGGAACAGGAAGCAGCTGGTCGTCATACCACCAAGCACGAAGCCACCTCCTCAAGCTGACCTGGGCCACATGCCATGGTTCTCGACACCATCAGCGACCCCATCATCAATCGCATCTTCGCCTTCTATGGTCGCGCCCTTTTGTTCCAGTTGTTCAGGATGGCGCGAGTCTTTCAATGGTAGTTGATGAAGTCTCACGCCGTGGCATGCTTGCGGATGGCAAGTACCCGGGTGCTGTGGTCTGCAGCGCAGGTCAGTGTTTCCAATCCTTAACAGTGCATAGGCTGGCAATTCTTATGGCATCTGATGAGCTCTGGACGTTGCTAGAGTTTGGTGATTTGCGTCGGGGCACTGATGGGCCACAAGCCCAAGCATTTGTTGTTAAACTTATTACAGAACACAAAAATGGGTGACATAGCGCTTGTGTCCAATTCTTGAGCTGCATTCAGCTGATGTGGGATCATACCGTGAGGGCATCGCATTAAAAATGCAGTCATGTTTGCATAGGAGACAGTGAGCAAAAACAGTCTGCTCTTACTTTTGAAATTTCACAATAAAAATTAAGTTTCTGACTCTCTACCTTCATATGCTAGCTTTCTTTTGCTTCACTAAGCGATGTGCAGCTGGTTCAAATCTAATGCAAGACCATGAAAAATTTGTTTCATGGCCCTTTTAGCCCTTTGATGTCCAGCATTGCCTAGGGCTAACAATTCAAGAGTTTCTTATTTTCTCCCACACCATTCGAGCTTCAATAAATTTAGCGCCCTTTGTCGCAAGGGCAAGGATACATGGGCTTGGTAATGGACGATCGAAATGAATCGTCAAAAGAAATCACTTGTCTTTTAAAACGAAAGCCAACAATGGATGTGAGGTATGATGGTGCGCACCACTGTCCTTTAACTAAGAAAAGCAGACACAAATAATGCACATTCGATTACCCCTTTTTCTATTGTGTGTATTTTGAGATGCACCTGCGCCTTCTTCCAGGTCGTAACTGTTTTCAGTCGTTCAACATGAAGTAGTGCTACAAATGCCCAATGCTGCTCCTAAGCAACACTTCAAAAACCTTTTTTTTTTTTAAAGTTAATTTGTTCCTGAGACCACCATTCTGTTATTTTGAGTGCTCTAAGACCATGTCAGGGTTTGCAGGTCTCCAGTATTTTATGTAAAGCCTTGGGCATTAAAGGGTTTAGGGTACTAATTTGAGATTTTGTTTTGTCATGTATCGCAGAAACATCCAAATTAATTGGTATCACAGAAACATCCAAATTAATTGAACGGTCATCACAATGCAAGAAATAGGCTATCATGTGTCACAATAAACGAGCTGTCACAATCGTATTTCGTTCAATAGCTTCAGCAGTGGAACAAATTTATTAAACAAAGGTCTAGATGCTTGCAGCCCTGAAGCTACGTAAATATATACAAAAAAATATCTATTTGTGTGCTGGGGCTGCTGGCGTAGGTGTGGCAGTTTCCTTCTGTTTAGCCTGAAAACAAGAAAAATACTCTTTAAAATATTAATCGAGAACCGCATATGCACTGAGAACCACAGCACTATTGTAATACCGTAAAATCCCGAGAAATAACCCACCTAACATCAAGAGCAAATCAGGTGAAAATATGGAGTGGCCTAAATTTCGGTGTACAATGAAGAAAATTTTAAAAAATTGCTATTTTTAGGTCATGTTCTTTTCAAGCTTGTTGTGGTGGCGAGGGGCAATGAAGCAAGGATAACTGTACTTCCCAGCTAGCAATGTTTCCTTATATTCCGTCATAGCTAACTAGCCGCATTTACGCCGAGGTCATCATTGACCCCAATACTACTATAATTAGGAGTCTGGGGGTATCTTTCGGTGTTTAAAAAAAAATAGCAAATCAAGCCAAAAATAGGGGTGGGTTATCTATCGGGGGTGGGGCATCTCTCGGAATTTTACGGTAGACTGGGGGCCAGCCTTTGCTACTACAAAATACCTTAAAAAAATGGAATTTTAGAGGTTAACTAATCACAACTGCATGTATATTAGCAGTTTTTGCTGTTAGGCTACACTCAGTTTGTACCATCAAGCCAAAATTAGCAGATGCTTGTCTGCAGTATGCCCATAAAGCACACACAACATTAAAAAGAGCAACACTCAAGTTTTATAAAGCCACCTTCACTTGTGATGCATTGCTGACGTATTAAACTGATTTCTTGTATTCCAAGGGGAAAATTATAGTAAAAGTTTTCAAATTGCACAAACTAGCATGCACAAAACAAGTGAGTAATGACACCTTTAAAAGGTGATGACAACTCATGTCATGAGAAGTTGTCTCTCTTATCAAGTAATACCAGCTTGCTTATAGCTTTTTTTTTTTTTTTTTTTTTTAATATTCTTTTGGATATGTTGTTTGCATTACTCTGTTACTATGCTTTAAAGAGGCAATGCAACAATTCTCATACTTTGCACAAATACCGTTTCGAACGGATCCCTGACGTTAATGGCCTGTGAAACACCCGTTCGTTTTTCACCACACGCAATCAAAGTCACAGAAATAATTAAAGAAAAACTAGCAGCGTTCACTCCTTCAATTCGCGGCTAGAACAAGCGGCCACGTGATCTGGAGCCGATTATATGCCGCCAATGTTGATCATAGTCACGTGCTGGGGTTGGCAAGGCAGAGGACAAGCGCTGTGTTCCAGACTTTGTTATGGTTCGGCTATTGTCGTCATTGCAGTGATTGGACACGGGCCACTACCCGAATGCTTCTGGAGCCATCAATTATCAAGAGTCCAAATCAAGTGCCCACGCAATGCTCAGGTCCAATCTATGAGCCGCATTCAAATATCGTCACTGGGCAGCACTCCGACCGCCCAGCTATGTCATCAAGTTTTGCGAAAGAGAGATTGAATGAAAACGCTCGCTTTTGGCCTTGAAATTACACCGCAACAGAGGAGTTTGTTGGCCAGTGGCATTGCGTGCAAGTATCCTCGAGTCCCACAGTGCCAGTAAGCTTGTGCAAAGTGAAGAACATTCCAAATGAATATCGTTGCACCCCTTTAGGTTTGTCCAAATAGGATACTTCAGAAATCGGGAGGCAACACAACTCCCTTGTATGAAGTGGAAGTCCGGCAGTCTGGTTGCTGTTTGGACACCACTATGCAAACACCACAACTTGTCTGCTCGCCTCCTACGCTTTTCTTTGATGTCACACGCCATCTGCCAATGGTGTGCCTGTTGCCTGCCCATCTGTTCTGCCGCACCCTCATATCCCTCCCTTTTCCGTGTTCGAGACTTGAAAAGCAGTGGAGGCCTTGAGCGATTGACTGACAGCCAACAGAGCGTGTGAGTGGCTGTCTGGACCCAAGTGGTGAGCACGCTCAAGGTTCCCGTGAAGGACAAAAGCAAACTTCGACAGAGGGAATTATTCCCCCTTGGCACAAAAAAAACAAAAAAAAAAAAACGGATGAAAGCGGACCGTTGCAGAGCATATGACGGAGTTGTGTCACCTCACGATTTCTGAAGTATCCTGTTTGTACAGAGCTTCTTGATCGAGCAACATAAGCACCAGCTTACAAAATTACTGGTCTAACTAAAAGAAACTACTTACCTGGAAATACCCCTGCATTCCATTTACAACAGCAAGGTCAGATAGCCGATTTGTATAACCTCGGCTCTTTGCGACAGATGGCATGAGCATGCTCCCTCAAAAGAATTGCTCATAATCTGAGAGTTAATGGTCGGTCAAAAAGCTGTTTTCTAGACACAAACACTTACGACCATGTTAGCTGTCTACCTGAAAAACTTGAGCAAAAGTGCCAAATACCAAGCTTTCAGAATTTAAAGATGCCCCTTATTTCTTGTGACAAAGTATTTTAAGCTTAGTCACTGTGAAATCACTGCAATGCATCCTGCTCGAAACTGTGCCACACATGATCAGTGTTGCTGGGAGGAGCAAGAAGGATGGAAAGCGAGCACCTTGAGTGTGTAAGCCCGGAGCAAGGCTGATTCGTTGAACATGTGCTGGCAATGGTTGTAGCCCATCCCAAAGCCGCTTCCTAGGCCAAAGACAACTGGCCAAGCCCGCCCTACAAAAGAAGTCCTCGATAGTAACAACACACACTGGCACGACTTCTCAATGGCAAAGAACAAATTGCCTTAAATTTTGCACCATGACAGCAGGCACATAGTGAGGAAAGTTTGCTTGTGGGTAACTGTCACCCCTGCTTTCTACCAAAATCAGCTGTGGGGGCAAAAGTAGAAAATAATGACATCCATGCACTGTGGTTGACTTTCTCACGAGGGCAATGAGAGAAAAAGATAGCAGCATCAAGTTTACAATACATGTCTTCTGACATCAGATCAGCGGCCATTGTGATGGCACTTACTGCTGCACACATACCTTCTGCAGCACATATTTTGCATCACCCAATTTGTTTTTCTTGGCAAGGACAAGTAGGAATGACCACCGGTAAGGTGCAATGACGTCACGTCTGAGCTGGTGATCATCTGACCTGTCTTAGTTTGCCATTTTGGTTACTTAACCTGCAGCGCGCGTTCCCTCTACAGTGTCAATTTTACACCGAGAACTGGTACCTCGAGGCAAGCAATGAGCTACCAACACAGCACAACTAAATGACGTCACATGCAACCAAGTATCAATACAGACGCTCGTTTTGATTGAGTGTCTTGAGACACTGCACAGTTTCTCCTCTCGGAAGGCAGTGGCCATAACACAGCTACAACGCGGCCGAGTCTGCATAAGTTTTAATCGGGTGCTACCTTCATGGCCTGACCAAAGGACGGCCGCTCAAAGTCTGGTGACGTCACACAAGTGGAACAAGGTTAACGCATTTTCTAAATAAGTAATAAAAAACTTACTCTTGAAAAGGACCACGGAGAAGACAACTCCGACGCCGAGACCGGCCCCTGAAACGAAATGAAATGTAGATCATCGGAGGAACGAAATCACAAGAGTGGCATTCCGAAAACCGGAAGGCTGTTTGCTCTTGGCAAGCCAGGTCATAGTGAAAGATTCTGTTTGTTCTTTGCGGCTTCATTCGAATTCACTCGGAGCAAAAACCGTCAGCGAAAGTATCGAAAACTTCCCAGTACCGGTGCAAACGGCCTACAAGATTCACGGGCCAGCACGGGTGTGACGCTCGAGATTGCCGAGACTAAAACCTGACAAAGGACTTATTTTTTAAAAATTGGTAGCAGACTTCAAGTCTGCATGTACAGAATCGTCAACAGGCTCACCCATTTTTATGAGTGTGTCCGCGATGCATTTGTCCCATTTTTCGCCGAGAACGTCCTCCGACCTTGTCGCCATTTTTGCAGGATGGTGATGCTCCCGATGATCTTTGGGCGTACTCGTTGTACCTGAGCACCCGAGTTGCCCGAGTAGTCGAAGGCGTACTCGAAAAACACGCCGCTAGATAGCTCTGAATATATAATAAAATCAAGTCATTAAATAGTTTTTTATACAATGTTTTATTCAATAATAAACTATAACCGCTTAGTATATTTTACATCATTTTGAATTTAACGAGGCCAGTGAATGATGCAGAGGGGCGCAAAATTCAAAATGGCGGTCTCCATCAATTTTTGTAGTCAGTTATTCATCTTGATCGCAGCATACTCGCAGTGCTTGCTCTCAAAAACGTTTAGGGAAAAGTTGTGAACCTCTCTGGTCAATTGCATTTTTCATCGAACCTATAGAGTGACAATGTACCGTGCGATGCTACTGTCATGGTAAATTATTCTTGATTTACAATCGACAGCTGCCACAGGCGCGGTTGGTTTCGGTATAATGTTCGTACTGCGCAAATCACTCTTACCTTCCCAACATGCTTCGATATTTCGTAAGGCAATTGGCGATACTCCCCGGGTGTGCGTTTCAACGGAAAACCAAGTGCTAATAAGTTCAAGCCTGAAGGTATGCTCGTTGAATCTCAATGACAAGGGAAAGGTCAATTGCCCTGTCTACTATACGTTGCCCTCTCACACTTTTTAGAGAAGCTACCGCCTTCTGGGTCTCGAGGAAAACTGCAGCCTCCAGGAGCTCAAGGATGCGTTCATTCGGCTGGCCAGAAAATATCACCCAGACAGCGGCACTGCAACGGCAGACGCGGCTAAATTTGACGAAATCAAGATCGCCTACCACAGCGTGCGCGACCACCTCTTGGAAGGCGCGCCCTCGGACCACGACGACGTCAACGTCGTTCTAGAAAAGAACTTCGGTATCAAGGTATACGTGGTGTCGGAAATTGAACCAGCTGTCATGCAATTCACAACGATGCCAATTGATTGACTCAAAAGTCTGCAACTAGTACTCGTCATGATTATACTCCATTTCGCCTTGCGATTGTCCGTAACGGACACAATCCAATGTCGTGCGAGTGTCACGTGACCCTCAGGAGGGCTGCAGCGACGAGCGGGATGCGTAGCCTGAGGTGGCTTGTAGCATATATCTTGTGGTCCATCGTAAGGTGAAAGGGAGTATTTGCGACACCAACGAAACGGACGGCCAGATGGCACCTAGCGGGATAACACTGAACTGGTCAGAGCAGGTCCTTTCGCAATTTCTGCTCGTCTCTTGTGGCTTCCATGACAGCATGTTATCAGTGGCTGACACAATGGCCACCGAAGCAAAGCGAGGGAAGTTGCGTTGGTTGTGTTTATAGCAACTAAAACGGCAGCAAGAACGGGTGCAGGGGAAACCGTGACTCATAACAGCCTAACGAAATTGTCATTAATCCTGTCGTATCAGCGTGTTGCAAAGGTCACTCTGAACGCAACCTATATGCAATTGTATGAACCAGACATAGTGTGTTTAACAACGTTCATTGGAGGAGTAAGAGGATGGTAGGTATCCCTCCATCGCTTCCCCAAAGTAGTTTAAGCCTCTGGAAACTCACCTACAAGAGAACACCACCACAGGCTTTGAACATAGTAGATAAAAATCGGGGCAAATATGTTGTCTGCATTGTGCATTGTAGAGCACTGCACGGGCCGGAATTTCTAGGCCCGACCCGGCCCGGTAGAGACACGGCCCGGGCCCGGTCCGAGCCCGATAACATTTTCAAATATGAGCCCGAGCCCAGCCCGAGCCGGAAAACTGGGACCGAGTTTTTTTATGTCATAAATATGTCGACTTAGAATATGTATTGTCGAGAGAATGGGTGAAATACGCGCATCATTTGCGACAGTCTTTGAACTCATCGCACACCGACAATCCTTGAGACAAAAGTGGGGAATTTTTTATTTATGAATTTATTGAAGAGATAATGCACTTTTCGTTGTTCTATTCAATTCGTTTAAGATAAATTTTCTTCAGGCAGGTCCGTCTTGCTTGCATAATGTAGCCCGCCGCGCTAAAGTTCCGTTAGCTGCTAGCACTTGTAGCAGGGATGCACAGGATGCGTTTGGATAGAATGGACAGTTTCGGGAATTCTTTCTCGTGCGCTCTCCAGAGGTCACAAAGATCAGCCACTCCTGAGCAGAAGTAGTCTTTCTTGCCATGTAGATACTCCTCCAATTCGGCGGAGGCTACCTTGTCCTCCTGCGCGTCACACCAGTCTTCAAACAAACCCTGGCACCTTCTTTTTGATGCGGGATCTCGAACGTCATCGTTTGTCTCATCTTCATCTTGGGTCATTGCTTCGGTGACACGAGCAAGTAGCTTTCTGACGTGCGCGTAAACTTCAAGGCGCTCGTCCTCGGGCAACGTGCGGAGTTGGCGGAACTGAGGCCAGAGAAATGTGGCGGTCTTGTGGAGGAGGAAAATTTTCAGCTTCGTGTCGAGGAAATGACGAGCACGGGACTTGATCTTCTCGATTTCCACTGCCTCTACAGCAGACACCGCCGCACCAGGTTTAAGATGTTTCTTCAACGCAGAAGCGTAAAGGACAACCAGAGGAAGTGTTGGACGTATTTCCTCTTTGAGCGCGTCGGTAGCATCTTTGAAGGGTTGCAGGAACACGATTAACTCGTTGAGTGTTCTCTTGTTCACGCTTTCCATCAATAGATTGTTCCTTGACTCCAGTAGAGCTTCTATCTCCTCGAACGGAGAGCAGACGGACTTTAGCATGGATACCTTTGAATTTAAATTTACGGCACACGACCCGGGCCGACGCGATTTTAAATTTACTGCACACGACTGACCAGGCACGGCCCGGGCCGGTCCGGGCCGACGCGGCCCGGAAATGTTGTTTTTCAAGCCCGAGCCCGGCCCGGGCCCTAAAAAATACGTGCTACCCGGCCCGAGCCCGGCCCGCGGGCCGGGCCGGGCCCGGGCTTTTGGGCCGGCCCGAGCCCGTGCAGTGCTCTAGTGCATTGAGCTGGCACATGGCATTGCACAATCTCTTTTTGGCCTCCATATTTGTCAGGAAGTGGTGACCTCTATAGGTCGCCACTAGAATATTTTTTTCTAGACAAATTAACACTTGTTATGTGGACTTCTTTGTTTTTTTTAGCCTTGAAATTGATGCATTCAACGTGCTGCATCATTAATTTTGACAGGGCAGGCTGAAGACCCGTTTACACAGGAGCATTTTCTTACGTTTTCTTACTTTTTGTTATGATACTAACCTAAGCCACCAGGCCATCTGTGTTTCTTGTGCCACGTGCAAAGGTACTCCTTAAGTTGGTTACTACGCTTCATAGAAAAGGATACCCCGGTGACTGAGGTTCATAAGTAGGTGTAAGGTTTGTAACATAAAGCAATGTAAGGAAGCTGTGCTCTGTGAATGGACCTTGAGAAGCATACTCTAATTATTTCCCTTCAGCACACAGTTCCCCAACATCGTCAATACCTCAGCTTCGATGGGGTTGGTTCTGGAACTCCCACCCAGCGCTGGCATCAGTACCAACAGCACAGAGTGCAGCAGGCCGTCAATCGTGTTTACGAGCATCAAACTGGCAAATCTGCTGCGGGTACCAAGGAACGAACCCTGGTCTTGAAAGACGCCACATTGGCGAGGCAGTACAAAACCACGTAAGTATGTAAGCTGCAAGCAGCAAGCTCAATGACGTACCACATACGTAGTGCAGACACTGTGTAAAATGTGGTCACATTCCGATTGGACAAATTAAGTGCTGATGTGGTAGCCAAATGTAGTGCTTAGGTTGGTGCCTCGAATTAGCACCTATCACTATGTTAGTGGACCTGATGACAGTCTTTCAGTTTGAAAATAAAAACTGGCAATAACGTCTCTTTTTACCCTGCTGTGTTCCGTACATTGGTGCTCACTTGATTCAAATGATCCTTGGCAGTTTGCTAAATGCAATAATAACGTTAAAGGCACATTGTTGCAACTATTGCACAAAATAATAAAATATTGCCTCGACTTCTTTTTTTAATAATTGAGCACTTGCCCTTGTTTCATTAGGATGTATCTTCATTTTTCAGTAATTAAAAAGTGTTTGTAAATTATTACTGGTAATTATTGCCTAAACAGAAGAAGTAAAATGGAAACTAAGTAATCATCTTATAATAATAATTATTTTGTTGCGCTTCTCCAGGAAAAAGCTATGCCAAACCCTCCACAACAATATTTTCTTTTTCTTTCGCTCTCCTGGTAGAAGTAAGACAGACAGATATGATCATGCTTTGGAAAGAAGTGCTGACCTTGACTGCATTTGACTACATGCCCACATATTTGCTCTGTACGCTGCGATTCATTAGTTGCTGCTCAGTATGTCAGTAATTGCCGTGAAATCCCGAGTACACGGCCACTCAAGATTTGAGGTTAATTATGTAAAACTGGGCGATGTGCCAGTGGTGTCACAAGGAGCGGGGGGGGGGGGGGGGGGGGGGGGGGGAGAGTGGGTGGACCGCCCCAGGTGCAGGGCTCAGGGGGGTGTCGCGGAGGGCCACGAGAGCGGCAAGGGGGGGGGGGATCAAGGTGTCGCAGCGGGCTACCGCCCCGAGTGCCGCTGACCCTAGTGACGCTGCTGCGATGGGCACTTCTTAGGTCAACAATATGTAAAGATATGTGTTGTGTACTTTTCGAATGTTACAAAATTGAGGGGTGGGCACTACTTATTGTGGAATAGGTGGATGCTCGGTATTTTACGGTATACGCTATGAAAGAGCTATTCATCTTACTAAATAAAGCCCGAAAGAGCTCTTGTTTGCTTTCGTAAACTTTGCCCTGGCCGCAGGCAGGCAATTGAACGCCTTGTGGAAGATCTGATCCAAGAGTCGATAGCGAGAGGAGAGTTCAACAACTTGCCCGGTTCTGGGAAACCCCTGAAATTTGCGCCGGAGAACCCTTACGTGGACAGCACAACACAGAAGCTCAATCAGGTGACTAGCTGTGCCCAAGTGTCCTGTGTCTGGTAGCACCGGAGAATGGGGGCACAATGGGAGTAAATAATGACTGCTCGCTTATGATAGTAATAATGAAAAAATTTTAGATAAAGCACAACATGTCAAAAGGTGTGTCTAAGGCGAAAGATGTCATGATATTTAGTTAACTTATTCTGCGGGATAGCTAAGAAAATTTACCATGTCTAGCCATGTTATTGATTTACTGAGGGAGGTCCATCCAGTAGCCTTCAAGCTAGAGTTAGTCATGATCAGATTTATCATAGCTCACCTGCTGATTTCAACCTGCACTAAGCTTGACTTTTTACAGCTTCCAAAATGTCTCCAAAGTTGCTATTAATACTGTTTTAGCATGTTTCATTTTAAACAGAAAGCTTAGACTGTACAAAGCATTTTGGAAGTATCATTTGCAGCTCTTGTAGCATTCTTTGTGTATGTGCTTCTTGATGACATAGTGATGCAAGATGCACAGTCATTTCATGATATCTGCAACCGTCGTCGCCACACCCCTGATTCCCTGCTATCCTTACAGAACAATGATTTTGTTTCTTTCGCCTTAAAAACATTAGAGTTACTCTTCAACACATGATAAAATGTGAAGGAAGTATTACATGTGCTGGAATATCAAATGGACCATAAAATGATGTTTAAATTTTTACAAAATAGCTACCCAAATTAGTCTCGAAGAGGAGGCCATTTTTGTTTCATTGCATTAACTTTTATAGAAATAAAACAAAAACAAAAATTTCGGCAACTGTTTACGTGTAGGAATCTGAAAGCATTCCTACAAGTAGCGCGCCACATCTTTTTTTTGTTTTTCACACCGCTCCGGCGGTAACATCATGCTCCCCCACCGCGCAGGAGCGGGGAACCCCATCGGCTTCTGTGACAAAGCATCTGCATTGCTGTGTTTTTGTTTGTGTTTTATTTCTGAGGCACGTCCGCTTTTACGTTTAGTGGCAAATGCTTGATAACATCTTTTTATGACCATCTTTTGGTCACAATGCCGACACCTTTTCGTGTAATAGGACAAGTAAGGCTTTTGCCTTAAAGATAGAAAAAATACCCGAGTTGGCTTTCTTCCTCCTAGAAGTGCTTCGGCGTCCAGTCTTATAACTTACGGCTGACATCATCTCTCTGTGCAGGTGCTAATAGCGAATGGCTACGTGCCCGAGTGGGTAATGCTGGAAAGGGAGATCAGGGAGGAGAAGGAGAAGGTGAGGACGAAGTTGCGGGATCACCGGGCCCAGCTAGGGTGCCTACCCCTATCCGAGGAGGAAAAGCAGCTGTGGGACACGGTAGTCCAGGGGATGGCCTCCTCGGTGACACACATCAATAGGAAGATTGACAAGTTCAACATGGTGGTTCCGTTGTTTAACAAGCAGCAGGTAAAGAAAGGGTTAAACTTGTGCTGTGTTTGAGAAGGCGTGTCTGAGTGCGTCAAGGCACCACGGCTTTTGTGGACGTCCCTGATTATAGTTGGGGACAGGTTAAGATCCAGCTTACTGCCTTTGTAACACTTTGTGGCACACGCAGCCAAAGCATGGCAGAAGGCAAGGAACGTGTGCTGGAGGCGGAGCACCTACTGGGTTTTTTACTTGTCACTTACTACAGGATGTTGCAAGATCTGGCTCAGGCAGCACGCTTTGCCTTCACTCATTTGCAGTTTCGAGGATCGGTTTCTTTGTCCTAAGATGAAATCTCTATGAGGTCACTATATCTAGCTGTATAACGGCTTGGTTATAAACAGCTGTTACAGTTTGATTGTCTATGGTGGAAGAGGAACGCCTCCTGGTGGCACCCCTTTGGTGGCCCTAAGAATAACAGATGAAGGTTTTTGGCTTTTGACTCTGATGAGGGTTTCCTTATTTAGCCAGATTTTTTTCTTTTTTTCTTTCTGGGTTTTATCGGAGTCCAACGGATTAGCACCTTATCTCTGTTAGTGCGGAGTTCAAACGTCTTACTAAATAGTATATTTTGATGGCCCCTCCTGCTGCATTCTTCATAAATATAAGACTATTTTACGTTTGAAAAACAATGGAGGAATCTTTGTTACAAAGGCTTTAAGATTTATATTTGGAAAGCTTTCACGTGTTTCTTTATTACTGCTGACGGATGCATACACCTTTTTGAAGGGAGCATTAAAGGGATGGTGAACCGAAATTTGGATTTCAAAAAAACAATGCTGGAGATGTAGGCGGGACGCTACAATCCCTACAACACTACTAGTAAAGTGATATCTCAAATGGACGGCCGTATTTTCGGAAAAAAGAAGTCGAGATTGAACCAGGCCGACGAGGCGCGTGACCGTCAAGATACCCAGTTTCCTCCTCTCATCGCTAGGTGTTGCTCTAGGCCGCGAGCCGGAGAAGACGCGAGGCCGTTCCCTCTCTTTCTCGGAGAAACATGACGTCAATATTCCAGCCAAATGCGCCTCTTTTTTTTAAAATACGGTCATCCGTTCGAGAAATCGCTGCATGAGTGATGTTTTGGTGTTTGTAGCATCCCGTTGTAGGCTTTTGGCCGCCGCGTTTTGTGAAATCCAGATTTCGGTTCAGCACCCCTGGGGTGGTGAGACCCTCTTTTTTTGGAATTCTCTAATAACTAATTTAAAAACAACGAAAATGATTGTTTTTTTTTGTTTTTTTTTTTTTTGCAGTTTATAATAATATTTAGAAAGGCAAAATATATTCTGGCATAACACAGTGCTCTTTGTGCGCTCACAAATTGGTTCGTTCTACCGTACAATTTGTTCTTATTCATCAATGCATACATTAGGCACGTCGCCTACGTGAGGTGACTGAGGTTTTACCGCTATAGTTCCATTTGAATTAAAAGGAAACCGCACGAGGTTGTGAGTTCTTGCCAAAAATAGAATCGGGGAGTTGGAGCGTCATTTAATTCTTATCAAGTACACACATTCATAAAAAAAATAAAAAAAATCATGGTGTTATAGAATGTTTTTTTTTTTCTGATTTCTATTTCGGACATTTTAGTTGCACTTCCAGCTGGTCCGCGAAAGTGAGAAAATATTGAACTCCGCGGCGCCACGCCAACATCAGTCGGGGAAAAAGCGGCCCATCAACCGTGGCACCGAGGAAGCGCAAGAGGATTTTTTTTCTTTCCTGCTAAAAGTAATAAAGATTAGATAATGTTGGTACAACGGTCGTTTTGGGAAGTTTAATAAAATCAGCAACGAGCTTGACCTACTCGTGTAAAATCATGAAAAATATTCTAAGCTATTTGGTGGTATTGTGCTCTGCTGATTGTCAATGTGAGGTTATATAACCTCAAAGGCATTGCTTTTTTCTTTTTTTTTTATATGCCAAATTTTTTTTATAAAGCATGAAATGAATTGTTTTTTCATTACATCCCTGCATTTTGTTTTGCCAGTCTCCGCTCGAATGTAGCGCTAGCGATTTGTACCAGATGCCAATGTTTCCAGAGCTTGCCGTTATTTGATTCAAAAGGGACGAGCGATTTTCGAAAATTTTCACTTAGAAAATGGGGCGTCGTGTCATATATTCGTTTATTTCTTGGCTGCGTTGCTGGGCCAAGAGTCTTGGTGAAAATGTCGAAAAACTTTTGAATTAGGTAACTGTAAGCTCTAAAAATTTGACAGCTGGTCCTAACCTCTGGTGCTATATTTGGGCTGAGGAGACTGAGTGTTCAGCGTGCATCCTTATCCAATTTTGCAATGCAAGAAAAGCTACTTTTCTTTTTTTAAGGCATTTTGCAGGTTGGTTTGGTAGCTTTGGGCCGAATTCCCAGTAAGACAGATAAATCAAACTAAAAATGACGGAAAACTACACAAAATCAATACATGAAAGACCTACAGGGCGTCTCAAATAGCGGCCAGGCTCTTTAAATTGACCGCAAAAATCGGTTTGTGAACCTATCGCGCTACGATTTTGCGCAGCGTTGGCAACAAGTGGTGTATTTTTTCTATAAAATTTGCGAGGAGCAACCTTACCTGAGCAAAAAGTAAAAAAAAAGTAGAAAGCTTGACCTTTGTGGAAACGCAGTGAAGTCACCGGTCTTCATACAATAGGGCGCCCTATTGTTTGTTTGAAGGATACAGCAATCAGGCTCAAATTACAAACGTGCGGCTGTCATTTTCGGATATTGTGGATCACATTCAACCTATTTCTGAACAAGACTGGTATATTTCGAATTTCGTTGAAGTATGCCCTTAACAAGCTCCAAGATTTCGAGAGACACGCAGTCGAAGGCTTTCTCGAGATTCACCTGCAGTGCTGCAACCCTCTGTTGGAAAGCATTGCAACACTATAGTATACTTCTTGCCACATGTATGTTAGTAACAATGGTCCTCTCCTTAAAAAAAAAAAAAAAAAAAAAAAAAAAAAAAACCCGAGAAAAAAAGTTTTTTTTTTTTTTTTTTTAACAATTTAAATAAAAAACGCGTGTCAAAAAATAAATTTTACGCGAAAGAAAGTTTTGTAGAGCAATATTGACGGCGAGAGATTTATTCGAAATCCTGCGCACAAAGTTCCGGAATGACCATCTCGGTCTTGAAGGCGAAGCCGCTCCATTTTTCCCCTTTGCGTCCGAAATGCTGAGAGAGAAAACGAGTGAAAAGGAGGCGACTGCCGACTAAATCACGTCTCTAGCCGTCAATAGTGCTCTATTTATTTATTTTTTTCGCGTAAAGTTAATTTTTTGCATCCGTGTCCCAACCAGAGTGTTAAAAAAAAAAGAATTGTTTAAAGGGCCCCCTTTTAGGGGCCGGTTAATACCACATGTCATGGTGAGGACCGACCACAAGATTCATCACACCTTGTAGTCGTTCCGCCAGCACCTTCATCAAATTATTTTTGTCGACATTCGTGAGTGTAATCGGGAGGTACGCTCTAACAGTGCGGAGCTTCACTCGATCTTCGCTCTTTGGAATTAAAACTGTGTCAGTAAACGAAAAGGACGGAGTCAAAACATCCAACTGGTACGCCTCGGAAAACACACAGTGCAAAAAAAAAGTGCCGCTTTGTTTTCAAACACTTTACTAAAACTCGGATCCGAAACCATGAGGTCAAGGCGATTTCCCGGACTCCAGATCATCTATACTGCATTTTCCATTTCACCTAAGGTGATAGGCTGTTCTAATTGTCTTTCATCCCGTCTGCCAGTTTTGCCATCAGTGGTAACAATTTACAATGAAAGTAACCACTCTTGGCTGTTCGATAACCAGAAAGCTCTTTGTAATGTTGCTCAAATGCATATTCAATGCTCTTCTTTCAATCGACAACTCCCTTGGTAAAGAATTTCACTTTCCTTTTTTACGCCATATCTTCGCTCCATGCCAACGGCTCTTTTGGTGGGTATCGATCTCCCCCTCATATAAGTGTTTCAAACGCGCGCGTACTGTGGCCCCCCATACTGATCGATATCCAGTGCTTCCAGGACTGACAATGTCGTCAGTGAAAAGCTCAGGCGAAAAACTTCCTTCGCGCAACAGCTCTTTCAATAGTGTAGAAAACCCGAGACTGTGGTAAAAGCAGGGAAACGGTGTCGAAGAAGAAGGACAGGGGTTCTTTTCCCCTGTCTTTCTTCTTCGACACCGTTTACAGTCTCGGGTTTTCTACATCATGATCAACATCCACCAGCTCGCCTGCACACTCACGATTTTTTTTTCTTTCAATAGGTCATTTAATTCCCGCTTGACCTTTTTTTGCTCGCGTTTCAAAACACCTGAGCGCTCAATGGCTCTCATATTTTAACGCCTTGTTTAAAAAACTCCCACTTTACTCCAAAATCGTTCCCCTCGGCCCTTGACAACTCGTCTAAAGTTTGACGAACCGGCTTAACAAAGAAATCGTCCCCAATGAGCTTCGTGTTGCATTTCCAAAGGTTCCACACAAACTTTTTTGGCGTTTTTAGATGAACACAGTGAAAACGAAACGAGGCAGTGGTCGCTAATTGATTTTGATTGATTGGTTTACAGTATATATTTTTACACATCCCGAGCAGTTTGACAGACACGTACGCTCTGTCAAGGCGTGCCTGACTTGCACCCTGAAAATGCGTAAAACGAAAAATCCCCCCCACTCGACGCGCAGTCAGCAATATCTTCTAGCCCGTGACGTTGGAACCTAAACTAAACAACTTTCATCTCTAAAACGTACACTGTTCGACCGGTCACGGGGCGCGCACACACAATTAAAGTCGCCCAACAAAATGACGCGCCGATCGGTTAGACCATCATCAAAACTAAAAAAAAAAAAAAAAGAAAAAGAAGACGCTCTCGCTTATTTTATTTGGTGCGTAAATGCACAAAACACAGAAAAAGTCGTCAGAGAAAGAAAAATCACAGAGGACGAAACGTCCTAACTCGTCACCAACCGCTTCTTTCACAGCAAACAGAAACATGCGCTAAAACAAAAGACACCCGCCAGACGTTCCGACAGCGTGGCTGACAGCGTGCCGCGCGACTCGAAAAATGGCACCATGCTCTCCGTCTGGCCCTCGCCCTCCATCTTCGACTCCTGAAACGTACGTTATCGAGGCCATGATCAAATACTATGGTGCCTGGATCGCGTCTTCGACTGGTGTGTTTAGCGTCCTATCCCGCCCATACATCAAAAGTGGTCCCAATGTGGCAACAAATGACGCGAGTGTCATGCTGTTGCCTGTCGCGATCCTGGCGGTTGGCCGTAGAAATGCTGGCGAAAAGCACGAGCGAACGCGAGTGTCGCTTTAGTCACGACGTCCCTTTAGGCGTCCCAACTTCCGGCTGCTGTAGCTTCCGTGAACTGTCACAGTGGAAAGCGACCTGCAGCAGAACAGGCGTCTGCCACTTACACCACAACTGTTGGGGCGCCGCCAGGGTCGCAACAGGCGACAGCATGACACTTCTATGACGTCATCAGGCGGAAATCGAGGGACCACTTTTTTGAACCCGGTAAACACACCAGTCGGAGACGCGTTCCAGGCACCATACAAATACTGAGGCGGCTCAGTTAGCACTGCATGCTGGCGCCGGGAGCACAAACCCCGCACGCCTACTCGCAGTGACTTTTCCAGCATGCTAGAATTTTAAAAGAGCCAACCAAAAAACAAATAGACATTAAAAAAAAAATCGAGAGGTACAAAAATGTGACGGGACGCGACGATTTGGTTTCTCTTCCGAACGCGTGCGAAACGCCGACAGGTCGCGGTAACGTCCCACCTTGCCAACCGATTCGTGCTCGAGGCGTCGCAGTTTCTTGTCGCCGGTGTCGGGGTGACGACAAGCCGTCGCCTCGCAGAAACGGACACGCGGTCCATTAGATCGACGTCATCGACGTCGTCGCCGCCTTTACCCTTGCCTTCGTCGACGCCCTTGGTCTTGCTGGCGTCGTCGCCCTTGCCCTTGCCTTCGTCGTCGTCCCCTGACCCGGCAGGTGCCACAGGGGCGCGTGGCGTCTTCGTCATCTCTGTCGGGCACAACGTCTTGGCGACCTCGGGGGCCGCCTTGGTCGACGGTACCGCAGACGAGCGTCTCAGTGTCGCCTTGCCGGAGACTGCGACGGCCTCCTCGGACTCGCCTTGGACTTGCTGGTCCTCCGACGTCGTCGCAGTCGCGGCCCTCTCGATCTCGAACTCGTCCTTGGACTCGAGTTCGACCGGTGCACGGCGGTGTTGTTGCCGGTGACGCGTGCGTACATCTTGACGCACGCCGAGGCCTCGTGCCCGAAGGGCCTGGAGAGGTTGCACCGGGGCACCTTCTGGTCCAGATGGATGCGTCCCACTCGGTGTCACCGGAGACAGACTTTTGCTCGACCAGGGACGACGGTCAGGACGTTGCCTCCGCAGATTCGGAGCTGGTGCGGAAGGCTCTCCAGGGCGACGCCCTCGTTCAGCCTAATGTGCACAGCGAGTGTGGTGGACTCCACGTCGACAAAGCCGGTGATCTATAAGTTTTCACGCACGATATCCTTGACGGTGCGAAGTGCTCGAAGGCGTGGGCGCACCGTGTCCTCCTGCATAGGCGCCGATTACAAAAAAAAAAAAAAAAAAGGGTAAGGGGGGGTTTGCCCTTCCCCCCCTCCCCTAAATTTTCGGCGGAGACGATGGTACTTTTTTAACGTTTTAATAAACTCAATGCCAGGCGAGAAAAATAGCAATAAAAAAGAAAACAAGCCTGCATACGGCGGAAATATATAC